TGGCCAAAACCCAGAAGATTTGGGCGTCTTATCTGGAAGCCATCATGAAGGTGTCGCTTTCTTTTTATTTCTGAGACTTCATTTTGAACATTTGTTTTTCCATCCATTATTTCTATTTGATTTTGCATATTCATGCTGAAAAAGACCGTGATCCTTTCACAGGTGGGTCAGATGCAGATCTTGAGGCAGCAGATCGCCAACGAATTGAATTACTCCTGTAAATTTGACTCGAAACACCTCGCTGCGGCACTGGATAATCTGAACAAGTGGGTTGGGAAGGATGTTTCTTTCTTCCTTTTGTACTTGGATTAGTTTTGACAACTTACAATGGAAGTGTGGTCATTTTCAGGTCTCTGCTGTCCGATATTGAAGCACATTACCAGGACCCATCGCTGCCGTATCCCAAAGACGACAACACCCTGCTCTACGACATCACCGCCTATCTGGAGGCGGCCGGAATCCACAACCCACTAAACAAAGTGAGTCATGTATATGAGAAATATTCATTTCTCCATGTCAGTGATTATTTTATTAGATAGGCCCAAATTTCAGTGCTTCACTGCCTGACATGATGTGACCTGTGATCATCAATTTTGTTGTATTTATCAATTTGAAACTTTCAGATCTACATCACGACGAAGCGTCTGCCTTATTTTCCCATTGTGAACTTCCTGTTCCTCATCGCACAGTTGCCAAAAATGCAGTACAATAAAACCCAAGGTCTGTAACTTTTCTTTTTTTTTTTGCATCTGTTCAAAGGTTTGGGGTAGGTAAGATTTTTTTGAATGTTTTTGGTTCCACAGGGATGACGTGCAGGAAGGCTGCAGATCCAGTGGATTGGGCTCCTCTGGTCCTGGGTCTCCTGACGCTGCTCAAACAATTTCACTCCAGATACACAGAACAGTTCCTGGCTCTGATTGGACAGTTTATTCGCTCCATAATGGAGCAGTGCACCAGGTACCTCACTTCACTATGTGATGATAGAAGGGTGAATCTCACCAGACAATGTCCAGAAAAATATGAAATTATATTTTGTATTGAATAAAATAAAGACTATTTTAGCACTATTAAGATTTTGGTAACACTTAAGTTTAGGGTCCAATTCTCACTATTAACTAGTTGCTTATTAGGATGCATATTACTAGGATATTGGCTGTTTATTAGTACTTATAAAGCAAATATTAATTCTTTATTCTGTATGACCATATTCAACATCCCTTAATCCTACCCAATTAAGACGAAGCTTTTTAAATAAATGCTGTACTTTTCGGCATCATAGCAACAGAAGTGTCTAACAGCGTCTGTTCCCTACAGTCAGAAGATTCCAGACATGCCTTCAGATGTAGTCGGAGCATTAATGTTTCTGGAGGACTATGTGCGTTACACTAAACTGCCCAGAAAGGTAGGAAATATTGCCATGAGATGTTGTATTCATTTTCTTTAAAGACACAAATACTGCACATAAAAAATCATGAGTAATAGTTATTTTGGTTTTCTCTCCTTTTCAGGTGGCAGAGGCTCATGTGCCGAGTTTCATTTTCGATGAATTCAGGACTGTGCTGTAAACATGCCTGTCATAATGTCAAATCATATTTGATATCATTCATCTTTCTCTTAAAGCACTAATGAAATTGAGCAATTAGCATTTTTAACATTTCAATTTTTAAACATGTTGATCTTTTGTAGCTGTTACTGACCGGATGTCTGTCTGCTGGTGTAATAAATGCCATATGTGTATGTTTTGATAACTTTGATGAACTTTTTAGCACACTTTCAAAGAATGAATCACTTTAACTCACAACCTCTCATGATTTATTGCTTTTATAAAATGATGGCAACATCAACCTCATATAATTTTCCTTTTTTGCGAATATCGTTGGTTTAACTGTACGCTGTGGCTCATCCTATCAGAATTTAGACTGCGAATTATTATTTTGAGGTACTAAAACTATTAAACTGTACCTTTTTTTTGTACACAACACAGGAGACATGATTTGAATGAAAGTTTTACTTTTATCTTAAATATATTACAATACTGAATGGATACTGTATGAAAAAAAGAGCTTTTATCGTTTTAATTATCAGTCTATGTACAGCACACAATGAAAGAAAATTATAGCCATGAAGAATCTATGAATACCAACACTGTGTACATGGTCAGATGAACAGAAGAGAAACAACAGGGTGTGACAGCGGCTGACTTGATAAAGACCTTACAGCTGAAAAACAAAAAAGGGTTAATGCGGTCCTGGATTCCATTATGTGTGTGGGTGTTCTGTTTGTGTTGAATATGATTTGCCTTAAATACATTCATTGATATTTTGGTTGTGTCCTTCAATCAGGGATCAATGCGCTGAGATGCCTGATGCATTGATTATGACAATTGGCATCAGACTGACGTTTAATTCCAGTACGAATGTGCATTTGTTTCTGACAGGTCAGGGTCACAGTGAGCCGAGTATTGCTTCAGATGGTTATTACAAACGAAAAGAAACTACATTAAATTATTGTCAACTGAATGTTCTTTGTGTGAGTTCAGTCCTGGTGGTTACATATAATTTTGCACGTAAACTGCAAATACAATCACACGGAAACAGGACAAGCGTCCCACGGTGTGTACAAAGGCGACCTGAAATGAAATAAAAACTTTTATTTGCACAAAAACCTATCGCGGCATTAATCATTCTAAAGCACTTAATCGTTGTTAGGGTTAAATATGTACATACTAATACTGGGGAGGAGGGAAAGACTTTACAAATTTACCTTAAAAATACTTCATATGCATCATGGCGGTGTTACGGGACGTTATTCGTGGATTACAGGCAGAGTGCAAAAATCAGTGCCGACAGGTCGACCGCACAGCAGACTATGTACAGATGAAAACTGCCATTAATAATACAATACTGACCAGAAGTAGGCAATCGATCAAGACCGAGTGGTCACGTGACCAGAGAGTGTAGAAGAGTGTCATGCTGTAAACAAACATCTACCAAAGAATCTGAAAACTGATTATGGGTTCACAACAGCTAGTCTACATAAATGCTATTTAGGGAGAATGTTTAAAACAAATCTCAACATTAATTACTCCCTAAATCTCATTAATTCATCAAAGGAAATATGTTTAGTCTTACATTCACACATCTCCAGGTTTTTTGTTGTTGATAATATTAGTTTCAGTCACTTGTGTAACCCGTGACAGCCATTTATTTCATCTGTGATTCTGAATTAGACATTAATTCTGACGTTCGTTCTATCCACCAATTTTTTTAATTTTAAAAGAAAAGATTTAATTAAAAAGAAAATAATTTTTTTTTGTGAATGTGCGAGACGGCCGAATCATCATCGGGTAAACAAGAATAACTAAGTGTGTAGTTAACTGTAAAACTATTTGCACTGCAAACCAGAGTTTACGAGAATGAATTAAATATGAAGCAGCATAACGGACTACCAGCGAACAGGGAATGTTCTCTGTAAATGATTTTGAAAACTTGACATTTTGAACATTCAGAAATAATGTTTTCATAGCTTAATGGGAACATAAGCTTAAACATTCTTAGAAACTTTTTTGTTAGCTGTGCTGTCTTTGTTGACAGTTGACACCGGATTGCTTGCACCAAGGCCATTTCTGCTTGCACATTCAAGTTTTCACTTTTCCTATTACCTATTACATAAAAAATAAGGTGGATAGGTGATACGCAAATCGTTTTTATGAATGCAGCATGTATCACAAAAAAGCCAAGTTCCCAAAACAATCAGCTAAAACCACATTCCTTACGCTTACGAGAGAATTAATATATAACATGGGAGGATGACAATGAGTAAATGAAAGAATTGGATTCGGTTGTAAATATGAGGGAAAATAAACGCATTTGAAACACCAACAGGGACAAACTAAGGCCTCTTGCGCGTTACAAAACAGAAGCTCATGGTCCTTTGCACATTTCATTTTCTCTTGTGTTGTTATGCTAGCACTTGTACAACTACATAAACTCACATAGACAGCAACACTAGCGCTGATTTTAAGTTATCATCTATTTTCTAAATGTATGTTGTTGATCTTATTGTGAATGATTCTTCCATGCATGTTTCACTTTTAAATAATTTTTGACTATGTAATGTTTAAAATGTCATAACTCGATCTTTGACAGACTTCTCTCTGGTGACGTAAGCCAGACTTTCCCAATCATTTAGTCTGCTTAAACCCCGCCCCTTTCTTATAAAATTGAGTGAAAGCTCACATTCAGATCTGCCTCCATCCAATCAACAACCGATCGATAGAACCAAGTTCTCGCCCTACAGTTTTCTGTAATCTATTACGCTCGGATATATGTCAAAATGCGGAACAAAAGATCTGTCGCTATTTCTGTTTCATCACGACAAGAGCGTTAGTGATTGCCACGTGCTGCTATGATTTGGGACGGATGCAGAAAACATGAAACACCGCTTCTGTCTTGTAGCGTGCACTAGGCTTGGGATGGATTCTGTAAATTTAGCAAGACGATCACAGGACAGACACTCTAAAGCAGAAGAAAAGTTCTGCCACGCTCTCCACAATCAAACATTAAAACCGAAAAATACTACAATCTCACATTTCACTCTGAATTATATGACATATGTACAAAATTCTCTGAGAAAAGGTGACCATATGAACGAGGCCGGATGATGTTCTGGTGATGCGGACATGGGGGGGGGGGGGGGGGGGGTTTCAAACGTGATTGAATCTTACCAGCCTACGGAGCTGTCCTTCGATACATGCGGCACCCTTGAGTGAAAGATCTAAAATCATTTGTACATCGTTACACTACAAGGAATCGATAAACATGTTTTCTCATGCATACAGCAGTAGGTTCTACAGTGGCAGCGTGCATTCAAAACAATAGTTAACTTCCTGCTCCTGCATGAGCTTCTTGCACCCGGGCAACAAGGGCACCAATCACAAGACAGCATGTGTTTGGAGGCGGGCCAGGCTGTGTGTGGGCGGGGTCACGAGAGGGGGCGGGGTTTAATGAGGGCACGAGTGGCTGCTGTTGTCTCTGTTGTTTGCCATTCTGGGTTTGTATCGTGATGAAATCATGTTCCTGAGTCCTGTTTGCGAATGACAGCAGGAATATGATCCTGATGCCGCACTCCTCAACATCCAGGGTAAGACGGCTCCATGCCACAAATACTGAACAGACATCGGAGGAGACCACGCCCAATTCTTCCATTCACTAGTCCCTTGTTTCTCCTTTTGAATTCCTTATTTTCTGACTGGTTTCATTTTCTCATTCATACAAAAGCAGAGGAAAATCCTTACGGAGTTTTGCAGACCAGTTTCGAGGAGTTCTTTTATATTGACGTTTCCCACAGCTGAAACAAACAGACAAAAGACACAATGAACACATGCTAGTAAATATGACTCATGTCATTTAACAAAACAACTATTCATATACTTTTCAGAACGAATTCAATTTGTTATACACACAATTGAAGTATTATGGCTTTTAGCTATTAGGTCATCTATATTCTAGTGTACATGTGTCAAACTCCTGGAGGGCCACTGTCCTGCAGTGTGTAGCTCCAACCAGCTCCAAAACACCTGCCTGGAAGTTTCTAGTAAACCTGAAGACCATGGCTGCGTCTGAAATCGCATACTCTTTGAGTAGGTATTATTTTGAGTAAGTAATTACTTCACGACCGCTAAAAAAAGTATGTTCTATATAGTATGAGTGTGTGTAGTATGAATGTAATCTGAACGTACTACATTCGCCATGTTGTCATTATCATGTGGCCTACCATCAGCGTCCGTTACGTCGCTTCACTGCCATTCATAAATCCTCTCCCGTGGCGTCATGGGATAGTAAAGTGTCCATCTGTCCATCTCGCTGGAAGTAGTAGGTCATCCGGGTACTTTTTGCCTATTCTTTTGTGAGTACTACTATATAGTAGGGAAGTATGCAATTTCGGATGCAGCCCCTTATTAGCTGGTTCAGGTGTATTTATTTAGGGTTGAAGCTAATTGTGGCCCTCAAGGAACTGAGGGTACGTTTACACGACAACGATGTACTAAAAACGGAAAAGTTTTTTCTGTGTACAGATGCCGACTTCAGCAAAAGGATCCACGAAAACTACTAAAAACGCTATTATACATGCCAGACAAGTAGTTGGTGATGTCACTTTGCAAAGAAAGACTATGCTGCGCTCATAAGCATTCTTTTACTACAGTGCACTTGAGCCGAACGCACATGCCCATAGACACAAATTAAATAATCTATCATTTTTTTGTCTGATTTTCATTCTAAGGATGTTAATCTTGATAATACTGTATTATTACTTTGTCTGCAGGGTGAATTTCCTATAACCACTTGTGATGATGTCCGTATGCCCCCCCACACACACACACACCCACACTTATTTCTTACTGTTAATATCTGAATTCTTTCATTTGCAAAGCCTGTAGAGTTTAGACTAAACAAGTAATAGGCTACGCATGTGGATGACAACACCTTTTTCACAGATTAGTGTTTGTAGTTTACATGATAAGGGGGGTGTCGTTTTCAAAAACTTGGACTTTGAAACCTGTTTTCAAAAGTTTGTGTTTTCATGCCACCAAAACATCATTGTCGTGTAAATGAACGGCCAAAACGCATAAAAAGTCTTCTGTTTTTAGTTGAAAACGGTGTCGTGTAAACGGCCCCTGAGTTTGACATCTCTGTGCTAGTGTTGCTGAAATTACTTATAGCAGATATACACTTATTAAATATATAGGCACATTAAAAATAACTGTTTACCTGTTAAGCATTAAAAAAAACGCAACTCCGACTGCTGAACTCCAGTCAAGCCAGTAGAGATGAAAATAGTGAGGATGCTTATTATGATTATTCTAGTAAAGTGCTAAAAGACGTCTTTTCGAGTGTTTTCATTGAGTTGATCAGTCTTCGGCAAGAACCGCTATACAATTAGATAACACCAAAGCCAGTCATTTTCTTCTTAAGAAAAAAAGACGTTCTTACATTCATTTTCATAACTTCTTTCTTAAGAAGATTTTCGTAAATCCAGCCTCTGAAGTCCTGTCAAGCCAGTCACTATGAAAAAAGTGTGCTCGCTTATTATGATTATTACGGTAAGACGGCCTTTGAGGTGTTTTTGATCAGCGAGTGTTCCGCTATAACCACTATACAATCAGATAACACCAAAACCATTTTTGGCCAAAGAAAAAATAAGATGATCTTAGGAAAATATTTGAGAACTTTTCAAAGAATTGCACTTAAGATGAATTCTTAGAAGTTCGTAAGAATGTTTCTAAAAAATGTCTTAAAGTGCCCCTATTATCGATTTTTGAAAATGACCTTTCATGTAGTGTGTAACAGCTCTAAGTGAATGAAAAAAGTTTTAAATCTGAAAGTGCATCGTATATAAAATTATTGTCTTTCAAAAGTAAGAGTCGACTCTGAGAGTCAATGAAATTAATTGTTTTTCAAACGAGTCGTTTCGTTGTGACGTCAAGACGAAACATTAGCATATTGCCCGCCCACTTATTGCGCGCGCAGACACCAAGGAAATCTTGAACCTCAAACCAGCAGCTGATTCCTGTGGATACTGGATAGCATCATGTCCAGAAGACACTGTGCTCTACAATATGACAGTAAAGCCAGTTTTTTTTCACTGCCCAAGGACGAGCATGTGAAGAATCAGTGGTTAAAATTCATCTTTACCACAATACCACAGCGTACAATCCAAAAATGTTGCTCTGTTCCCTTTATTTTACCGACGACTGCTTCTCAAATCTCAGAGTTCAATGTCGGATTCGCAAAACCGCTTGCTCTTGAAAAATGGTGTTCAAAATACTTAGTTTTGAGTTTTATATTGTGTAGGTCTCCTGCTAACTGGTTAACTCACATTATTACTGTCTTACTGAAATACTTCTGCTAATCAGTTGTGGGCCACTATTACCTGAAACTGTCTATTAATGCAGATTGTCTGTCGTTCTCACTACTTTGAGGAAAGATTAAGCATGGAGCAAGATTTGTTTTACCAACGTTTATGTTACATCAGTCATTCACGCTAGAGCTCGGCTAATGTATGCACTGTTATTGATACAGTTCCCACATGTTCACCGCAATAAATGAGAAAAATACTCTGTAAATAAGTACAAGTAAAGTAATCTGTTTGTTAATGGATATGCACTTGTTAATGCTGATGTTGAGGAATTACAGTTGCAACATCTCATAATGTTCCTCAATCTGAGTAGCTTATCACTGAGAAACGTCCTGCTCGAGTCGTCCTTGCGATGGAGGTTCGGGTTGAATGACTAGTTCTTCCAATGTTTCATCATCGGACTCGCGCTCGGATTGATATGGTAAAATCGACGTCATTGTTCGTTACTGTGTTTAGTTTACGGTGTAGGAAGCCTCAGGACAGCTGACGTTGTTATGGCAATGGGTGTTTTTGTTTTCAACGCGCGCTGTACACGGTAGACCAATCACAACAGACTGAGCTGTCTGGCCAATCAGAGCAGAGTAGCTCGCGGAAAGGATTGATTCATCTGACGAGTCGTTTGAGAATCGTTGAAAATGTGGTGATGTGCAAATGTATATTATGAGAAAATGAAACAGTTTTTTGAGCTTTGATGCATGTAAACCTGTTGTAGGAGACTCCAAAACAACATTAGGAAACTTTAAAATAGCATAATAGGGGCACTTTAACTTCTTTCTCACAACGGTTTTGTGAATTTAGTTTACTTGTTACTAAGTGCTTCTGTGGACAGACCATCGTAAAACCTCTAAATTTCATGCATGTGCTTCTGTAGCTTCTCTACCACATTATAGTGTAGAAAATGTAGTGTGATAGACCACAGAGAAATAAAAGAGCTAAATCATAATTCTGGGAATTGTCTAAATATTTTGATCCTGAATACCTGCAATGCGCTGAATGACGATAAAAAGAGGCTTACGTATGGTGAGTCTTACCCTGGCACTCTGTCTGTTGGCCTTCCTCTCTTCATCTGGAAGGGGAGGCATGGGGTAGGGGTATCTCCGGCTGGAGGCGATGGAGCCCGTTGAAGAGGTGGGCGATTTGGCCGGTGACAGAGTCCTGTGGGATCAGAGAGATGTGACATTAGTACTGAAGTGTGTGAACCGGATAACAGCGTCAAGATCCAGAACAAACATGGACCTGTCACCTTTGACCTCTTGAAGAGGTCAGAGGGAGTGTTCCCACGGCAAGCCATCATCCAAAATCACTAACTTCATCAGTCCTTGCCACAAAAATACCCACTGGCTCTTACTGAAGAGTGAAGCTAGGCAGATAATGCAAGCACAATGCAGTGCTTTTGGGATGTTTAATGAACAAACATACCCGGCGTCATGTGGGCTTACAAACATGGCGGACATGATGAGGTGATCAGGACAGACACAAGTGATCATCATCACAGAGAACATGGCAGCCATACGTTGATGACATCATAGAGTGAACAAGCGACAAGTTAAGCAGCAGCCGGCATGCAGAGAGTGGACTGAGTGTGAGAGGGACAGAACCGTGAAGGAGGAATACAATACAAATATCATACAAACATAAGAGCTTTAACTACAATCAATGAGTCTGGTTTGGTCTTTTGATGTACACATACAGATGAACAAATACAAGAACCTAAACAGAGCACCTGAGTGAATCTCATATTTCAGTCCAAAATCAAAAGAAAATATTATTTTGAGTAAAAATTAATTTTACATTTAGCTGACGCTTTTATCCAAAGCGACTTACAATTGCTATATATGTCAAAGGTCGCACGCCTCTGGAGCAACTAGGGGTTAAGTGTCTTGCTTAGGGACACATTGGTGTCTCACAGTGGATTCGAACCCGGGTCTCTCACACCAAAGGCATGTGTCTTATCCACTGCGCCATCACCACCCCATTTTTTCATTTTTTTAGACTTAATGGGACATTTCTTATTTCTGTTGATTTTGAGATGAAATCTGATCTTGGTTTTGTGATATGATCATATGAAAGGCATGGATGCTTGCATCTCATGGTTATCAATGTTTACATCAAATGATTTACTGAATGCCTTTCGTCTCCTTTAAAAGACAAGTGGTGAGTTATACGACTATATTGGGATGTATGATAGGAAGATTTCTAAGGACAAACAATTAAGATTCATGATTACAAAACTCTGGATGTAAATCTTTGAAATTGTAGAAATGTTCATGCACTACTTTGCACATGACATTGTGCAAAGTGACATTGCAGTTAAATTTCTACTGTAGCTGTTCATGACACATTGGAATTGAATAATACACGTTTAGAAGATCAAAAAGAAACAAATACATCGAAACGAAAACCCTTCAAACCCTAACGCTCAGCTCTCATCCCTGAAAAATGATATTTGGTCAGGGAAAAAAACAACTGAGGAGGGAAACTGATGGATAGGGGACAGATATAATGCAGTCTGTTTTTTTTGTACCTAATAAAAGGTCCTTCAGTGTTTTTATTCACATCTTCTACCCATTTAGTAACATAATACTCTGATTTGACGCAAGGGGTTAAATACCTGCAGGAAGAGGATGGGGAAGGAGCGATGGTGAACAGAGAGAGAGAGATAGAGAAGGGAGGGGGAGAAGAGAAAGAACAGGAGAGATAGGAGAAAGAGGAGAAAGAAGGAAGTTGGTAAAAGACAGCAGCAGCACTGACATTCTTTTTGGTCCAAGATGCAGGTGAGAGATCAGACAGCAGCTCAGACTACAGCACCTACACAGATATCATATCAAGTTTTTTCGCTTTGTGGCTGGTGCAGGACAAAACAAAACGAAGACTCCACAAAATACAGCTGCTGTAACATTAGCATACAATTGACCTTAGTTTTAATTTGTCATCATTTACATATCCTCATGTTGTTGCAATCCTGTATGACTTTATTTCTTCAGTGGAACACAAAGCAAAATGTTCCTTTACATACAATTCAAGTGAACAGGGAAAGGGGTTCTGAACCTTCTGATCAAAAACGAATCTTGACAAAAATGAATCACTGTTTCCACAAAATATATTAACTGTTTACAATATTGATAATAAAAAGAAATGTTTCTTGAACACCAAACACGCATATTAGAATGCTATCTGAAAGATCATGTCTTGATCAAATAAATGCAGCCTTCGTGAGCATAAGACTTTAAACAGTAGTGTATATATTCAAATATATACAACATGCATATAATATATGTATATATATTGTTGTTTGGTATCACTGACATCAACCTGGCACAATTCTTCAAGCACTTAGGTTGAATATGTGTATGTGTGCATTAGATTTAAGAGCTATGGTAGAGGTGAATGTCAAGGAAAACACAAACTGTTTATAAAATTGCAGACCTTGAAATTAAAAGAGTTGGTCAAATTTAAAATACTACAAATTATGTGGAGAATGAAAAATAATTTGGTGCCAATACATATTCAAAACAAATTCATGCTAATTACAGACAGTAACAACAGAAGAAAAGGTCATTTTTGTGTACCATATTCACGCACCTCACAAAAACAAAAAGGGTTTCTTGTCATTGGGATCAATTTATGGAACTCTTTGGACATTGTGCAAAAAACATGTAACACGATTGTTCAATTCAATAAAATGTATAAAAAAAATGTTCTTAGAAAATAAGAAGGCAGTGAAGCATAAGAACCAATGTTTGACAAATTTGAAATTGTTAATTATTTAGATGTGAAGTAATATTGTAGCCTACCTCAAAAAAAAAAAAAAAAAAAAAAAACCTGAGCCATCTGTTTTGTGTCAGCTAAGATTATTGAAAAAAGGGGCATGAAATTCTAAGACTAGGTCTTCCTCATGCTCCTATTCAGCATTGAATGTTATTATTTTGTTGTTTATGTGATTAATATTGTGTCTGTAATAACATCATGACTGAATAAAGATTTTGAAATGAACTGAACTGAAGGTTATCTGTCAATAAAGCATTTCGATCTCTTCCTAATTTCATATGGCCTTAGATGTCTTGAAATATAGTGCATTTTGGGCTACGTTTATTATTCTTATTTGGCTTAACAGCCCCTGGTCACTGAATAGTTTAGTAAAAACGTCAGAATTCTGTTGACAGAAAGTCATTCAGGTTTGGAATGGCATGAAGATGAGTAAAGGTGACAGAATGTTTATTTTTTGAGTGAACTATTCCTTTAAATTTAGCAGAAGAATTTTTCCACAACCATCAAGCTATTCAACGTTAAAGCACATCACAGAAGTGTGACGCCACTTCCTAATGCATTTTTTAATGTCTTGCTTGAGATTTGAACAAATATTACAAAATAAAGTAGTAGTATTTGTGTAGGTCAGCTGAATGTTGTTCTTTGGTCAGTTTGTCACATGCGTTTGAAAAAGGAGAGTTCAAGTGCAGAAACAAGCGTCAAGCTGAAATCAGAATTTGAGTGTATATTGTGTTCATACAGATGAAGACGTGCAGGTCAGTTTCGGCGTGCTGTTCGTTCCAGAGATTAAACCAATGCACACATCAATGCACACCAAAAGCAAACCAGGATTTACACCAAACAGAACAAATTCATCTTGGACACACTGCAGTACTGATACATGGCATAGAGTTTAAGACTCCATGCAAAGTCCAATATCCACCCTGTGTTTCCAAATCACTCATTGTACGGTAAAAAAAACATGTCTCTATTTCAATACAAAATCTCTTACTCTGTGGAGTTGGAGCGAGGACGGAACTTCTTCCCCCTGAGCTTCTTACGGGTACCTGTGATGTTTCCTGCAGTGACAGAGGAGACAAACGTGATATGAATGCTGAGATTAATCTGATGTAAGCTCTGTCATTTAGAGCTGATGCATTTATGGATGTGTTACCTTGCCATGAGTTGCTCCTGGGTCGTCCGTTTTCACAGACGTCAGAGATGTGCTTGGCATCTGGGATTCTTTCACTCCAAGAGTGAGACAGACCGTTAGATCTTCAGACCAAAGAAAAGAGAAATTATCTTTTAAATTCCTTAAATGCAGTTACAGAGATTAAAAGGGTTCTGTATGAGGAAAACAAATGCCTGAGAAGTCACATGGGTCATTCCTACTTAGCAGTACATTTTAATGTTCCTATCGTGTATGTCTTAATATATTGGATAACATTAAACTCACGTTAAACATTAAATCGTTAAACTCACTGTTATTAATGATATCACAATATCACAATGAAGTGAACATGGGATAATTTTTCTCATGTCTCTGGGTGCTGCAATAACTTCTAATATGGAAAACTTGGCAATATATTTTCAAATAAAAGTCAAATTCCTTAATGACATCACCATCATCCAAGTGACATCATGTACTTCTTTAAAATTCTCTCTTAAATTATAACTACAGTATGTTCATTTCAAAACGTTGCAGAACTATACTGTGAAGCAGGAATGATTCGCAACACTGTGATGAGCAGAACAAACACACTGAGATGAGTGAGATGAGCATGAGATCATGGAGATGGGACACCAAAGACACTGACTTACTTAATGCCTCAGTATTAGTGGTACTAGAGCCTGATAAGACTTTGACAATAACCAAGAGAGGGACAAACAGACAGTTACAGCATTTTTGAGCCAATAGCACAAACCTGCAATGGAGAACTCATCAATGAAGTAATAAAAACCTGCAAGTCTTCAGTAAAAATTACATCCTGTACACTGGAACTGCACACTTTGTCTTAAAAAGGTCTGTGCCAAATAAAACAGGAATTATTTCATACTTTAAATAATAGAGCTCAGTCAAAAGCATGAATTGGCCCTTAAAAATAAAAAAATTCTCTCTTTAGGAGATCTCTTTAATCTCTCAGTTGTATCTCCTAGACAGTAATGAGACTAACTCCAGAACAAATGGTGACTTTGGCTCTGAGAAGTTTTATGTCTTATGCCTAGAAAGTATTTTCATGGAAACATCTGAGACAAAGTTGATACTTAAAGGGTTAGTTCACCCAAAAATGAAAATTCTGTCAGTAATTACTCACCATCATGTTGTTCCAACCCCGTAAGACTTTCGTTCATCTTCGGAACACAAATTACGATATTTTTTATGAAATCTGAGAGCTGGATCACTCCTCCATAGGCTGCTAGGTAATTGATATCTGCCGGCCCAGAAAAGTTAGTATAAGACATCGTGAAAATAGTCCAAGTGACTACAGTGGCTCACCTTAAGTTTATCAGGCGACGAGAATACCTTTTGTGCGCAAAAACAAACAAAAATAACGACTTTATTCAACCATCTCTTCTCTTCCATGTCATTCTCCTAAGATGTTGACGTAGTGTAACAGCGCAAGTACTTCTGGGTTGTACGTCAGAACGTAGGCTCACTATTGGCCGACGCTGGTCATGTGTGTGATGCGTGTGATGCAGGCCAATAGTGAGCCTATGTTCTGATGTACAACCCAGAATCGCTGCGCTGTTACACTACGTGAACTCAGTCAGAGGCCCACACAGAAGAAAATTAATAGTTGAATAACGTCGTTATTTTTGTTTTTTTGCGCACAAAAAGTATTCTCGTCGCCTGATAATCTTAAGGTGAGCCACTGTAGTCACTCAGACTATTTTAACGATGTCTTTACTAACTTTTCTGGGCTGGCAGATATCAATTACCTAGCAGCCTATGAAGGAGTGAGCCAGCTCTCAGATTTAATCAAAAATATCTTCATTTGTGAACGAAAGACTTACAGTCAGACATCTTTATGGGGAAGATCACCCTGTGAGGGTGAGTAATTACTGACAGAATTTTCATTTTTGGGTGAACTAACCCTTTAAATTTAACATAATTGAAAACTCCAACTTCAAGTCTTTTGAGCTCTCAAAGTAAACTTTCCTATTTGTTTTTAAATAAACGTTCCACTATATGTTAGCAAAGCAGGCAAAGCGATGAAGATGAAAATGGAGATGAAGCACACCTGAAGCCGAACAGAGAGATGTTTTGGCTGATGGAGGGGATAGAGGGGGTGAAAGAGCAGGTGTTGATCTGGAAGTGAGACAGGTAAGCAGACCTCTTCTTGGAGCTGCTTCCAGAGTTCGAGCTAACGCCCTGCGGCATGTCACTGTAGAGAGAATCCGCGTCTCCTGGCTTCTTCACGTAATCACCCGGAGGCATTTGACTGACAAACAGAAAAAAGTTTGCTCTGAAAACTGGGCTGGAAATATCGTCCACCAGCAAAAAATTTATCACTTAGGGAAAATATAAACACCACCGGTCAAATGTTTGGGGTCAGTAAGTTAAAAAAAGAAAAAGAAATTAATACTTTTATTCAGCAAGGATGCATTAAATTGATCAAAAGAGACAGTAAAAACATTTATATTGTAACAAAAGTTTCTACTGTTTATATTTCAAATAAATCCTGTTGTTGTTTTTTTTACTTTATATTCATCAAAGAATCCTGAAAAACAATGCATCAGTTTCCACAAAAATATTAAGCACAGCACAACATTGATAATTATAAGAAATGTTTCTTGAGCAGCAAATCAGCATATTAAAATGATTTCTGAAGAATCATGTGAAACTGAAGACTGGAGTAATGATGCTGAAAATTCAGCTTTGCCATCACAGAAACAGTTAAAAAAAATATATATATTTCACAATATTACTGTTTTAACTGTATTTCTGATCAAATAAATGCAGCCTTGGTGAACATAAGAGACTTCTTTCAAAAACATAAAAAAATCATACCTAGCCAAACTTTTGAATGGTAGTCTGCATGCCAAAATGTAGGGTAAAGTGCTTGTTCAAATTCTTAATCCAAAAGTATGAGCATTAATAATAGCCTTAGAAATAATTCAAAACTTTCCACTCCTTCACACAACACATAAAAGAACACTCATAAAATGAAGAGAAAGCTGGACAAACCGACAGAATCTTCGATGTACATCAGATTCAACATACTGACGCTGCCTGTAGCTCCTTCATGAGGAGAGCGGAAAAAACACAATTAACAAAATAAACATCAAGAGAAAAATCATAATAAAATAACAAATATATGTATGTACAATTCCAGTTTAAAGGGACATTTCACTAAAAAATGACAGTGTCTTCGTTTACTTACCCTCATATTGTTCCAAAACTGTATGTTAGGATTGTTTTCCTTCCATGGAGCACAAAAGGAATAGTTTGCAATATCTCTTAATTTTATTGAAAAACAGCTGTTTTGACGATTCTGCTGATCTTATTTTGTGTTCAGTGAAAGAAAGTCAAGTTTGGAACAACATGAGGGTGAGTAAATGATAATTGAATTTTCATTATTGGATGGACTATTCCTTTAGGGAAAGTTTAATAATGTTTTCAGCTAGTGAGACGTCTGTAGTCATGTGACTCACTTATATCCCCACGCAGAAATGCCTAGAATCAGTGCAAGGACCAGGATGGAGCCAGCAATGGCCCCGATGATGATGTTAGTAGTTACGATTCCTGTCAGAGGAACAGAATGGTTAATCTGTAGCCATGGCAACTAGCAGACAACACTGACCTGCAATCATCTGGACAAAGCAAAACTAATCTGGATGTAAACATGATTCATATTTATGTTTGATTTAGCATTTTGTTTGTTTTGTCCTGTTGACCGCATGACCAAATCAATCTGAAATAAAGACAGATAGAGACAGGAACTAGAAAAAAGATTAAGATAAAAATGTATGACTTTCTCTTTACGGAGGCTGTATGTTAAAGCCATCCATACAAATCAAATCCATGAAACAGGGTATATGACGAGGTTTATAACAACACAGCACAGCAGATACACACTGTTAGCTTTCATTCAGAAAGAAACACGGAGGAATAATGGGGTGAGTGAACGACAAAACGACAGAGAAGAAACAACAAGAAACAACAACTCAAATCTAAACTCACTGTCACTCCAGCAAAAGACATGAGCCTGTCCACAAAGAACGAGTGCGTATAAACAAAAGCCATGAAACAGAAAAATAAAAAGAGAAATTAAAAGCGTGTGAAATGTGTGAGTGGTGAATGAACTGTTGAACATGAATATGATAGAACAGAAGAATAACAGACTAATAAAAAAATGAAATTATTATATCTTGATATCCTTTTTTTTACACATTTAATAACAGGAACCATCAAATTTAGCCTAACACCCCTAACCTAATTAGATTCAAAATATTTAATGTAAGAAATAATCTGATGTAAAATGTCTAGTAAATAATCAAGAAATTCTATGCTGTTGCCAAAATAAATTAAATGATAAAATCCTTCAGTGCGTTAATATTGCTGGTGCCACGGTTTCATGTTGTGCTTAAGAAAGCATCTTATCAGTGGTAAAATCGCTGTAATGCACTGCATCACATTGCTTATTACTTACATTTTGACATATGTTATTTGTTTTATAGAAATGACCTATGAAATATGTTCAGAAGTGGCACCTCTTCTGATTCTTGCAACTTTGGTAATGAAGAGTTCACACTTGCTGGAGCCTTTACACATAACCACCATGTCTTCTGTCATCAGCTTTTTTGTAATGCGTGCTGGTAAAGGATCTCTGAGTAGTGGAACTGTGACTGGTTCTGTGCATCATCCTTTTGTGAAGTCTAAGGGAAAGTGGAAGTTTGGCCTACCTGATGTTTTGGCTGTGGGGCGCACCAGCAGGTAACTCAAAGGAGAGGTGGAGTTACAGTCCTCACCTGCCCAGCCCAGGTCACACACACACCTGAGCTCATTACTGCACACCTACAACACACACACACACACACACACAAAGATACCACAGTATTGTTTAGCAGCATTTCAACTAAATATTTTGCTTGCAGAACATGCAGGGACTTAAATCAGTGAATTGTTTATTTACATATTAGGGGCATTAAACACATATTTAGTGTTAAACAAAAAAAAATGGCCTTTAGAGGAGTTCAATCCGACCCACACCATGATTTGAGAAGAAAATAAAAATTGATTTATAAGTAGATAAGTAACTATTTAAAAGTTACTTAAAATGTTTATTTTTAATTGAATTTGGATAAATTATTATTCTCTTCTTCTTATTATTCATATATTCATAATAAAATATATTTAACTATACACATTTTATGTTTTTTTTTTAGTCAAAATGTATTTTTAGCTTTGTTCTATTGCATGTTTCAGGTCATATCATCATTTCAACTGAAGCTGGATCAGTGGGTGACACAACTGTCCCCGTTCACACCACACATAATCTCTCACCCCATGTCCGGAGCAGATCACCCTTTCATTGGTGCCAGGGCACGTGCTGAAGTTGAACTCCTGCACTGGGAGGCATTTGTGGTTAAAGCAGATGCGATCCGTCCCACATGCAGTTCCGTCCTCTACGTATCCCAGATCAGTGTCGCCGTCAATCAGCACATGCCCTCCACTGAAACATTCACACTTACTTTAGGAAAATTAATCAACACATAGAAACCTGAAGTGAGTGTCTCTGACTGTACCTGCAGTCCAGTGAGGCGCTGTGCTGGGCCACAGAGAAAGAAGTCAAACCTCCCTGTAACTCTCCTAGTCTGGGTGCTGGAGAAATGTTGGAGCAGAGCAGGTATCCACAGTTTACATCCCTGAAAACACACATGTGCACACTTTTTAAGTTAAATGATCTCACACATCCCGGACATGCTTTAATGACTCAAATGTGATCACTACTAGTAATTAAAATTAAAATAATCTTACTTAAAACCATCTCACTTGTACCACCTGACTGCTGCAGATTCATTTCGGCATTGATAGGGTTGCCATCTCGTAATTACGGTTACAACATGGCATGAACGCAGCATAAGCTTGTTGTTTAGGCTCAGGAGGAACTGTAAAAGGTGGCTGCTGTTTGTTTGTGGCGCTCTGTGACTGTCTGTCTACAAGTCTGCACAGCCTCATGAAACACGCTGATGATGTGTGATGTCTGCGCGAACAGGGTGCGGAAATACATATGTTGACAGGCAGATAGGACATCCTATCATTGCATTCGGACCGAATGCAATGATTGGACCAACATTTTTTTGGTCCTGAGACTTCCACAGAACAGAAGATATATGTACATGTTTTATTATTTAGACCACTTCTATTTTTGATTGCTATCAGGATGTGAAGAGAGTTTTAACCAGTTTTTTTTAAGTTATTTTTTTATTAAAACATATTTTACCCTTCCTCTAAGTGTAATTTTATATACATGAACCTGTCATGGAAATTCATTACCCATTACTTTCATGTAGTAACCTCTTATGCCGGTCAAACTCACTGTTTTTTACACTGAATCCAGGTGTCTTTGTCACGTCCACAGTTGCCCTTCTCTGTGCCCTCAATGTTGAGCTTCTCATAGCAAAACTTATCAGCCGATGTTGCTTCTTTTAAAACAAAAACATCAGATCATAATCACACCAGAACCACACACCAACAACAAAAAACATATTTCAAACAGCAGGAAGTGATGTCACACCCACCAGTTTTATTGTCATTAACTAAAACTATAAAAAAATGTTTTTAGTGATTGAATATATATATTAGATGAAAGACTTAGATAAAAAATACTAAATGTTGCATTGGTGGCAGCTAACTTCAACATCAAACTGAAACTGAAAGCTAAATGGAAATATAAAAAAAACTAACAAAAATGACAAAAGGACATAAATGACTAAAACTAAAATGAAAACTAAAAATATAAATAAATACTCTAATAGTATATAAATAATACTAAAATAACTGTCACTCACTCTCTCCCCAGAGGTACTTGCACTGCCTGTCCTTGGTTTTGCATCTGCCATTGAAACATCTTCCCTGAAATGAGATCAAATGAACAAAAATAGGTCACATAATATAAATTGTAACTATATTTCATATATATTTCATATTTAAAAACGCACTTGGTCTTTCTCACATGTGTACCCATCCATCTTGTGCAGGTTTGGAGGACACTGTAAAAAAAAAATATTGAGTTATTTACACTATAAATATAACATAAACCATTAAAAATTCTTCACTACAGGAAAGAAAAAGAACATGTTTATATTGTCACACTATCTGCTATTTTTAAACGTATGTAGTATGCACTATATAGTTCATATGTCATATGCTGTGCTGGTCACCGTGATTTTGCCAAGTAAGACATGTTTCTGAATCAACATATTTTGTTGACCCTGGAACAACATTTCTGTCTGAAAATTTAGTCCTAACCCTACCCCTACCCCTACCCATAACTTCTCCCTAAAATCAGAGGGAAATGAGATGTAACATTTATAACACTGATGTATAAGCACCTAACCCTGGTTGTAAACCTAAACTTCACATAAACTGGTAAACTTGTCCCTCAAATCTGATTGGTTGATTGGAATGTTGTTCCAGTATAGACTCTGTTGTATTAGTCCATTAATTATACTGCTGTAGGATGTGTTGTGCCCCTCACCTGGCTGGAGTTCCCAGAGCACATTTCCGGTATGTCACAATCATTGACAGCCTCACGACAAAGTACACCCATAAACTCCAGCTACAGACACAGCACAAAGAGCATTAAAAATCACACAAACAGAAGGCTGCAGATTTTTCTTGTACGACTCAGCGCCTACCTGGCAGTTTTTACAACAGAGGCCATCACTGCATTTGGCTCCTTGTGTCAACATACATTTCTTGCAGCAGTTTTCCCCTTCTCTAGCACACTCCTGCATAAAGACAGAAGAAAAAAACAGATTACATAAGCAGTGTCAGATTATTGTGATCATGATGTTGATGTAAGATCACTCACGGCTGGGCTTCCACAGTCACACTCCTCTCCTGCCTCCACAAAACCATTTCCACACTCTGGAGGATCCAAGAGCTATAAAATAAAAATAAAAAAAGAGAGAGAAAAAAGAACTCTGTTATTTTGCAGCATTTATTGCACTAATATTATTTCACATATATTACTTATTTTCATATACTAGTGCTGGACAACGATTAATCGCGAATAATCACATCCAAAATGTGTGTGTACTGGTTATAATTATTTTGTATATATAGATATACACATATGCATGTATATATATTTAAGAAATATTTGCATGTATATATATTTATACATAATTTATATTATATATAAATATTTTATATATAAATAACACATTTTTCTTAAATATATACATGCATGTGTGTGTATTTATATATTCAAAATAATTATACACAGTACACATTTTAATATATTTTTAAATGTAATTTATTGCTGTGATGACACTGCTGAACTACTCCAGTCTTCATTGTCACATGATTCTTTAGAAATCATTCTAATATGCTGATTTGGTGCTCAAGAAATATTCCTTATTATTATCATCAATGTTGAAAACCGTTGTGCTTTTTAATATTTTTGTGGAAACCATGACACATTTTTCTCCACATATTCTTCAAACATGAAGTTCCCAATAACAGCATTTATTTGAAATATCATTTTTGGAATATAAGCATTTACTGTCACTTTTGATCAATATAATGCAAATTTCTTTAAAAAAAACTTCCTGAATGAAAGTGTACGTATAAAACTTTGTGAAAGAGCATTCCAATTTTGTGGAAATCTGTGGCACTTTGTTTGAAGTTCTGTGGGTGCAGATTCTATGTGGGCTTAGTGGTGTGCTAAGGAAAGTAAATGCTATGAACTCAGACAGAACTGAAGTGGGTTTACCTTTGAAGGTTTGTTGAAGAGACACGCACCACCTCCACTGTTCAGAAAATCATGAAACTCTTCCACGTTACAGTCAGAAAATCTCTCGGGTAAGTAGAAGCTGTTACAGAGAACCACAAAGCACAAAAGTCATAATGCCTAATTTTCTTTGATTCATACAGCAGCTGAAACTCTATTTTATAGGCTATAAAAATTAGTGTTTGTAACACTATCAAACTCACATTAAGCTTATACTGAAAAGCAACTATTCTTACCTCAGTAACCACTTTTACATGCACATAATTCACATTTACTGCGCAAAAAAACTGACAAGCAGATTCTTTTCCCACTACTCACGTATGGAAATACTGCTTACCAGTAGAGGATTATTATTATTTTTTACCCATGTGTAGATGTAAATGAATATGGATATTCCAATCCCATATAAAAAGTATAGCATTTCTGATTATTACAGGGAAATGCCTTATGGAGATTGGTTTATAGCAATCAAGTTAAATCACGTTTACATGACACAAAATCAATATGTTTATGTAAACGTGGTCACTGTTGTGGAAAAGTTTTAACGGAGCATATTACTGTTAAAAATGATGGTCTCGGGTTAGAAAATAGGTTTAACATGAACTGGTCATGCTGAATGTAAACATCAGTCTGGCTGGCAGTGGCTATTGACTCGGTTTCATTCAGACCAGCAGAGGGCAGGACTCAGACTAACAAACAAAACACACCATACAAACACAAGGACCACAACAACCAAATTGGGTGAAAATGGAAGAATCCGTCAATTCCCTGTCATTTGTTTACAGGCAGATCTCGACCTTTTAAATATGATGGATGTGCTAATTGTAGAATCTGTGTATTTATTTCTATACTCTAAAACCAGGATTCCCAAATTTATTTTACCAGCCGAACCACTTTAAATTAAATATTTACTTGAAGTCCCCCTGAGATTTAAATCAATATTTGAAGAATTTAACACGTTTGCATGTTTTCTAATGTCAGTGGTCACAGTACATGCAGGGTAAATAAAATATTTCATCCTTTAATTTAGATTGATTTTATTAAAAAAATTATTTATTTACAATGACTTATTTTTATGATTTCATTATTTTGTAATCTTTTAATCAACTCACAAACCCCCTGCAGTTCCTTCATAGTTTGCGAACCCTAGTTTGGGAAACCCTGGTCCAAATAAATGACCCAAATCACTTTCTTTTTAGGCGAATCCTCTCTGATTCTGATGACACTTTCATAGCTTTTGCTACCCATCCACTAGACCCTCCCTTTGATGTAAATCACAATTTTCCCACTTGTAAACAGAGGTGTGGCAGTACGGTTAAATCGTACAGTATCAGGAGAACGCTGAATACTGCTTAGCCTGTATCAGCCGGGTCGCTGCCCTCAATATCCTGCAGAGATCATTCCGAACCAGTAAGCACTATTCCAATCTGTAACAATCTGCAACAATGCAGTTCAGGAAGCCTTAACCGCAGGCTGCAAATCAATAAGTGCATATCTCACATTATGCCTTGTACAAATGGTTTCTCTTCATTTACCAGACGCTGAGTGTGTTCCTGGAATATCAGGGCACCTTTTCTTACCTGCTCGAGCATTGGTAATTAATTTTAATGTGTTGCAGACATTTTCACAGGATTGTTAACAGCAGGAAGACAAACTTAAAGGGGGAAAACAGAGAACACAACATATCCTGCCACATTAACACTGGAGTTAGTGGATCAGATCGGACATGCAGGCTGCACGGAAAATAAAACTCATCAAAACATCTATCAATGGAGAGACAGATCAACATGAGCGTGTCTGTCTGAAAGGCCATTGATACTGGTGTTAATAACATGAGCCGTGAGAGTGTGCTGTAGCTTTCAGGAAATGATGGATATATATATATCAAAAACAACCCAACTACAACATATATAAGTGCATGTTGGAACCACAGGACTTTCTCATACTCAGAAGTTTGGACTTTTTGTCCCAATAGTCCCATATTCTCCTGATGGTGAGAAAGAGCTTAGCTTCGTGTGGTGATTACAACACTTTTTCTCTCAGTTTATGAACTTCTACAAATGATATTCAAGTTTGAAGGAGTTGTGGAAATGTTTGCATTGATTAAAAAAAAGTGAATGACTAATAAATGTGTTCTGAAACATGACTTGTGAAGAGAAGAAGTCTTTTTTGAGAAGCTAAGCACACAGCAAGACGGAGGGTGAACACATACTGAGAGTGCTGGTGTGAATTTCAGCTAACGTCCTGTCAGTAAGCCATTACATATATCAGATGACAGGTGTCAATCACTTTTGTCACCTTAATTCTGATTATCTAATTGTATTATAAAAGAGTTTTGTGTTTGAAGGTAGACTGTGTGTGTCTCACGCAGGCTTTATGACATTTGGCATTAGCGTGAAATCATGATTGTTCTGTTCTGAGTGTGAATGACTGCAGACAGTTTTAAACTGTTTAAAGGGGTTATATCACGGAAAATGAGTTACATATTATATATGTTTCGGAACTCAAAAAGATTGGAACTCATTCCAAAAATTTTTTTTTTTTAAACTATGCTGCAAAAACAGCTAGTTATGAAATTTTCATGGTTATTATAACCACACAAGGATGCCAAGGTGTTCATCTACTTTATTTTGGCACATATTGTATTTTTTTTTTTTTTTTTGCAAAAAGGCTTTTATTTAATTCAAACTATATTGGACCAAAAAATTGAATGATCAATTTTTTTCAAAACTATATTGGACCCCCCAAAAATGTTTAAGGGACAGAGAGAAGGTGGAAAATACTGAAAGCTACTATTATAAGGAACAAAATAAAAGATTAAAAATGCATGATATGACCCCTTTAAAATGAGAGGATCCCAAAAATCCCCTCTTAATGAAACATGTCCCACTATGAGCTGTCGGCCGAATTAAAAACCAGTGAAAAAATTTAAGAGAGCACACAGGAAACTGCAGAATGTTCCAACATAATGCACTTCCGCCATATTGCACTCTTGACTGAATAAAATTAAGGCCATAATGCTATTAGATGGAGTGAGGGGGGCGAGGCTGAAGTGACTCAGCAGCTGACTGGTCGACAGGACACGAGCGAGTAGCATGACACAGCCAAGCGTCTGCTCACCTGCTGTCCCATTCGGGAACAAGGGGAAACGCAAAAGGTATTAAAACACATGGATAAAGACAAACCAACACACACAGACGCACACTGTGACATGAACAAACACCTATGACATCACACGTATCTGATCACCTCACATCACGGCATTTCTTGCATGACCACTGTGAATTTTTTTTTACCGTTTTAGGCATAAATACTAATTATCAGTTGTGCTTTGCTACGTCTGATCATTCAATTTTTCACTTTGACACTGACAAACACGGTTTGTGAATATTAAGATTACTGAATTTGAATCATGAACAGTGAAATGTCAATGTCCACATGTGAAATGTCAACAGTGGAGAGCCAAAAATAGAAAATTGGACTAATATGATCAATAACACTTTCTCATTAAATGTTGAGGATATTGTGTTCTAATTTTACACAGGAGTTCATTGGTCAGTCTCACAAAAACGTCTTATATCAAAATATCAATATCAAAAAAACAAAACAAAAAAACAACAACAATGATATATATATATATATATATATATATATATATACAAACAGGAATAAGAATTAGGTTATTTTTGGCATTACAGTAATAAGAATTGATTATAGTGTGAAATGTGATTCTGAAATGTGCATATTTTGTGGAAGGTTTTGTGAGATTCACCCTCGCAGACTGTACTGTTAATCTGCCCACCCATCAACAGTCTGTGAGGTTCCCATGAAAATGAAAACAGGACACAGAAATGACTAAGCACCGAGACAGATGAATTGAGATGCCAAATTATTTACTGCCACCTAGTGGACTTTCATGAGAAATAGCATTTAAATCAGTCTCAGTTTCTTACTAGCTGCCAGTTAACAACATCTGATGTGACAGAAAGCGTTATGGATCAGCGAGTGGCACAAATTTGAAACACTGTTACTTTGACTACATTTAATGTAACGTTATTAAAGCAACAAAACACAGGAACACAGACTCAGCACAAAGCATGACAGGCTGTTTTAGTAAGACTAATATGCATTTCCAATAGGGTCTCAAAACTTAAGTGAGTTATGTGTGTTAGGAGATCTGGGAAATCAGCTTTATTAGAAACTTACCCAACATCATCCATTATGCAGCCAGACCATTTATCTTCACACTTGCACTCCCCTGTGTGGGAAAGACGGATTACAGTGGAAAAACTATGAGAGTCTGTGTGAGTACTCCTGTGTTTACTGCCAAAGTACACGCATGAAAAATATAAAGGTTAGAATGAGAAATGAGAACACTCACCGTTTAAAATGCGTTTCTTATCAGAAAAGATGCCGATATTTTGTCCCAGTGACTGAGCGAGAGTTATGGCCATTTCCTTTCCATACTAACAAATCAGAAAAAAAAACACCCAAATAAAATACCTTTGATACTGACAAACAAACAGATTAATTTTCATTACTTAAAAGCATCTTCCATAACCACAACCACAAACCTCATTGACTCCGCCTCCTTTAGTGAGCGAGCAGACTCCGCCCATGTATGAAGCTCCTCCCCAATTACTATGGAAACGGTTGCCCCTGGAGGCAGACAGAAAACTCATTAGAAATGTCCTTTCACTTGATCATAAAAATAATGTCTGCTGTGTGTATGTGTGTGTGTGTGTGTGTGTGTGGGGGGGGTTTCTTTTTAACTCACGAGAAAAGGTGAACGGAGTCACACTTTTCTTTAATAAAGTCTCTTCGGTACTTCATAAACTCTCGTAATGTCACCATGGGGTCATCGTTGATGTTAAACCTGTTGTCTGCCGCCCACGTTTCCATTGCAACCAAGACAATTCTAGTGTTGAGTTGCTCTTTGAAATACTGAAGATACAAAAAGATGATGTCTTTATTAACAACAGGGGAATAAAGAATTGCATCTCTTCCATGTAATTCTGAATCCAAAGGACACATGTGACGACTGCAGAATGATTGATCTTTTTTTTTGTTGTTCTTTCTAGAGCTCATTTGACATAATGAACAACAGGCTGAAGCAACCAAATGCCAGCTGCCTCTCACGAGAGAGAGAGAGAGATGGAGGAATGTTTATGGGACTGTCAAGGGGAGACAGACTGACAAACAAGCAGATAAAGCAGCTCATGACAAGAGTGTCAGCCTGCTCTATTTGTCTTGAGAAACTGATGAGGATTAGCCTTCTGCAGTTATAATATTATCTGTTTAATACATTTGCAATGTAAGTTATTCTGGGTTCAGACCACAATATCAGCCTGATTTTGGCATGATCCATTTGACGTAGGGTGTCGCATGTAGACGCAAGAATCGATAGTTTTATCTCATTCCGATCGTTTTATCGTACTTTATCATAGTGGACGACAACCAATGCCGCATCTGTAATGCTGCACAACATCCCGACAGCATGGATATTCTGTCCTCCACAACAGGTTTAGTCACATCTGTGACGACGTTGACCAATAGGTGCACAGAAGCTCTTGAGTACATAGCTTTCAAACATGGCGAAATGAAAGAAAGACAATGGCATTGGTGCTGCTAGGTGGAATTATGCAATGGCAACAATAATCCTGCCTTTATGATGTTTCCTCGACGTACTACCATGACAGAGTGAAAATAGATAAATACGCTTCGGTAGCCATTGTTTGTTTACACTCTTGTTTCTGGAAGTTACTCGCTAGTTCCACCTTCTCGATGACATCACGCAAGTTGTTAAAGATGGCAAGCGATGACTGGTCGTTATATCTGGTCGTGATATGTTTCTTGTCCATGACACAAAAAGGATTTAGGAGTCAAAATTGCATGATCTGACACAGTGACTATCGTAACAGACATTTTGATTGTGTAGTAGTCTGAACCCGGCATAAAAACATACATAATTAAAATAAATAAAAAAAGACTGTTAAATGTATATAATATGAGCAACTTACCAGATCAGCCATATTTACAACAGACTTGGCATAGTTGTTTGTTTGTCCAACGGAAAGGCGATGCTTCTTGTACTGGGGGAAAATGAACGTGAATGCATAGAACACTGGACTTGATCATTTAGATTGGTTAATAATTAGGTCGATCATGGACTGTCACATATCTTACCATTAAATGATCATTTATGACCATCAGCTCTACATATTTGGTCTCATCTGCAACACTCCGTGGATTTCGCGATACCTGTGTGAGAAATTTGACATTGTGCATTATTTTCCAGTAGTTTAAGGCTCTGATGAGTTCTGAGATAGTGACAAGGGATGAGGATTTCTGGTTCCCTTATGATTCTTTGAGTAGTTTTGAAGAAAAAATAAACAATTAAAAAGTGTGGAAAGTAATCTTAATGCATTCAATACTATCAGCAGCCTGTTATGAAATCTTAACAAAGCATTAATTTTAATTCCAAAAAACAATGTATCACACGTTCAGTCTGACATGCACCAACACATTTTCACGACAACAGCAAAGTTTAAAGCAGCACAGATGCACATACTGCAATTTTATTCCATCAACATAATTAGAAGAATGCAGAATAAACATCACGTCCTTCTATTCGAATATTTTTTTTAAAAGGAACCTGTTTTGAATTGGAACTGTTCTCGACTCCCAAACCTAGTGACAAACATGTTTCATATGATCACCCTGCAGCACGCAAAACATGCTTACTGCAGAGGAACAGCTGATCTATACATTAGTGCCATAGAGAGTCCACAGCCCTGCTCTAAATATTTCATGAGAGGAGCAGAGATGGTGAGAAAAAGATAGACAGACGAAACAGAGAGAGAGAGAGAGAGAGAGAGAGAGAGAGAGAGAGAGCAGAACTTACAACAGCATTGAAATCACATCAGAATGAATACTCAGTCAGACACACACAATGTCCCACAAGTGTTTTGAACACAGTACACACACCTGTCTCTTTTTCCTCCTGTGGGCGGCACTGAACAGTGGAGGGTTCTGGAATGGTGACTCTGCCAGATGAACTTAAACAAACATTAACTATCAGTATGGACAGTTGAACACAGAGTGTATGCAAACTAAACTAACTAATTTTGCTTTATTAATGATCCCCCATGGACCCTGATTTATAGTGTATAGTATACATGCTATATATATATATATATATATATTGTATATATCTATATATATATATAATGGTTGAAACCTGAACAGGAGAATGGTCCATACCTGCAGAAATGAAGTCCTCTGGGCCGTCCAAACTATGAGACTGATAAATCATGTGCACACGAATCTCCTCCTACAGAGAGGAAATACAGTATGATTATGTGTCAAATACTCCCACATAACACTTAGTGAATTTGATGAGGCACAGTGCTCAATCTGTATAAGAAAGAGATAGAGAGCATATTTAATAAAGCAACAGTCAGATTTCCAAATTAATTAATTACAATGTTACAATGGCCTAAACAAATGTTTAATATGTATAATATATTGTCTGAAACATTTTTGCTGTTTAATTAATTATTTTACCCAAAGGATCTTTTGTATCCAAAATTGTACCCAAATTTATATAGAAATATAACCAAATATATAACCACCCTGAGAAGTATTCACAAGTGTGACAGCAAGTTGATTGGGTAAGACCATTTAAAATAAGGTGCAATAAATAAAAATGAAGTGGAAGATAAACCTTTTGACTACTGTTTTTTTGCAGGCGCCAAAATACAATTTGATTTAAGCGAGAGGAAACTCCAGACTGCGTCGTTGAAAATAACAACACAATTGCCTTTTTAAATGCCACCACTGTGTTTATGATTCGCACAGTTATTTTGTGAGCGCGCACATGACGTCATGCAGCACCGCACCCGCACAGTGAGTTCTGCGCGCTCCTGAGAGTCCTTATAAACACAACAAGACACGACGGTACGGGGCCGCTGAGGATCACCGATTGTGTGAGAAAATGACGATTGTATCACCAAAAGAGTAATTTAAAATTCACTGTTAATCAGGTATGTGTGAGATATATTGGTCCTGACAGCGTCACTAAGATGAAATTAATGCGCAACAGGTTGTATCGTAAAGTTAGCAGTTAGCTGAAATTAGCTAGTTAGCGCTCGAATATACTCTTGAATAAATCATAACCAAACCAAACCACATCTGGAATCAAAACAAACCGTAAACACCAATGTTGAGCCCGTGAAATACAGAAAAAAATACCTTCAATAGAAGTAATATATCGTTTGTGATAAACTGATACATTCAGTAAGAAACTCCTGACAGAGATTCGATTGTCTCACATCTATTGTTGTAATGACATTTACACAGAGACATACATTTACTCTCCATAAACGGAGTAACGTTACACGTCTATTGTACATAAACTCAGAGACATTTATTGTAGTCTACATACACTCTACTCTTAGGTACATAACTTACATTAACACTTACACACTCGTACTTTTAACACGACATGTTTAAGCAATGCAATCATCACTTAACCCTTTTTTGACTCATCTTTACTGTATGTCTGTGAGGGAGGGTATATTACAGTAAGATTTCCAGTAGTCAAATCAAGTCACCCTTTATTTATATAGGGCTTTATAAAATACAGATTGTTTCAAAGCAACTTTACAGTGATAACAGAAAAATATGCATTGCATTTTGAATGCAAGTCAGTTCAGTGTTGATTCAGTTCCGTTGTAAAGATCATTAAATTAGTTAATTTCATCTATAAAGCAGTTTTGCAAAAAATGTCGTCATCGTCCAGCTCAGTTCAGTTCTCATACAACAGTACAGTACACCTTTCGTATTTCCATGCACTGGTAGTCTAATTCAATTTTCAATTTGTAAGCAAACTTTTGCAAATGACTCAAAACATGTTACCCTTTCTCTCTTCATTGTTCTTGGTTAACAATTTCCTTTCTTATCTCATCCCCACAAGGTTTCCAGTTTTTCCTGACCCCAGCCATGTCTTGCCGTGACATTCACGCCACCAATGCCTTCGCCTTCATCGTCGCGATGCTGTCGGTGGGTGGGTTGACCGTCGCTACGCTCATTCCTCAGTGGAGAACCACACGCCTGCTTACCTTCAACCGCAATGCCAAAAACGTGACCGTGTACGACGGCCTGTGGACCAAGTGTGTGCAGCGAGATGGTTCTACGGGTTGCTATTACTTCGATGCGGACTGGTACTCTAAAATAGATCAGTTGGACCTCAGACTGCTACAGTTCTGTTTACCTGCTGGTAGGTGCTCATGATGTGTTCAGTGACTTTGCTCGTCAGTTTATAGGGCCATATGTGTGTGTTATCGCTTTTAATTTTTCTGGATTCCATTTTAATGATTTAATATCATTTTTTAAATCTTAATGTCTAATCTTTTTTATTCATAAAACGTATCAATATATAAAATTATAATTTATTAACATTTTAACAATAATACTTTCCTATGAAATGTTTTTTTTTTCTGTTGTCTGCATTTTTCTGGATTCTGTTTATGATCTTATACACATTTATTATCAAAAATGGTGGCAGTCATATGATTGCATAATTAATCTTTTAAAATAAAGATCAAATAAAATGTTAACAAATAAAAACGGGTACTGCACGACAGGTTTACTGTTTAAAAAAAAAAAAAAAAAAATTAAATTGTGATATTCCTTAAATGTTTTTTTACTGTATAAATATTATTGTAATTATTTTGAGAAGTACATTCTACTGTACAACAGTAATATATTATTGTCATAATTTTCTTTACTTTTCTCAGTTAAACAACTTATTTTGGTGGATTGCAGTTAAGACCTTTGAGTGTCAGTGTGTGACGGTAGTTTGATCAAATGAAATGGTGAAATGCAGGTGTGCAGTGACTCGATAGTTCATGTCCTCGTATAGTGAAATGGCAGACACTGAAAACACCACAAGAATCACGCATGCTTCAAAGTGTGTAGTAGACGAAACTACAGTCTGTGTGAATGAGCGGCGCAGTTTCGCACATTCACATGCAGACCTCATTTTTAAATAGCAGTCTTTTTGTGATTTTAATATTCACAGACACAAGTCCATATCATAATTTGATTAAGTGTACAGCTCGACAAATTTTGCCACTTTTATGACTGGATTCCACATTTTCTGTATCGTGGAAATCATAGGGCCCTAAGTTTATTCTTAAATGTTGACGTCAACCTCTTCTCTGCACAGGTCTGCTGTTTTCCAGCTTGGCTCTTCTGCTCTGTCTCACTGGCATGTGTAAAACCGCTTGCTGCTCCAAAACTCCTGATGACATCAAGAACTCGCGCTGCTTGGTCAACAGTTCAGGCTGCCACCTAGTTGCTGCGATGCTTCTGTTTCTAGGTGGGGCCATCGCCATGCCACCCTCCGTCTGGTTCCTGTTCCACACGCGCGACCTTAACGAGCGCTACGAAAATCTGTTTGCCGTTGAGTTTGGGGTGTATGTGGCCATCGGCAGTGCTGGTGGTCTGATCTTAGCTGCTCTGCTGATGTTCATGTGGTATTGCATGTGTAAAAAACTGCCTTCACCCTTCTGGCTACCTCTCCCTGAAATGCCCTTAATGGCCAACAGCCCCTCCGCGCAGCCCCTCATGACCAACGGCTTGCCTTCTCCCATGACATACGCCCCCCAGAACTTCCCTCCAGCTGTTCTGGATGCCCCCGCTTTTGTCCCAGCACATGGGTACCAACCTGTACCGACACAGCCTATGCCGCCCCACATCTATATGCAACAGATGTCTGTGCCTGACGGTTATGGCTCAGAAGTTGGAGTTTCACAAGCATATAGCTACGCCCCCTCTCAAAGCTACGCACCTTCTCAGGGATACGCCCCCTCGCAGAGCTACGCCGCCTCACAGAGGTACGCTGGGCACCGCTATTCCACACGCTCCCATATGTCAGGCATTGAGATTGACATTCCTGTCCTTACAGACTGACACTGAGTTGGGGTGTTGTTCACAGTTGTTTTAAATCAAAGAGGTCAATCTGTTATTGTTTTTCTATACATTAGAAATTAGAAAATAGCTGTGATGGTCAGTTTGAAGTGAAAAAAATGGTAATATTGAAAGAAACGCCTTTATTCACTTGATGTAGCAGGTGCCTCTTAGTTATAGCACTGAAAATAGCCAAAAAGGGAAAAATGGTCATAAAAGCAACAACACAAGTGGAATTAGGAAGTTGAGCATCACTTTCTTAATGTGCTTTATTCTTAAAACACAAGCAAAACACATTTCTGTGTAAACCGTTCATATAACTCCACTGAGTATGTTGCATTCAATTTAGTGTGACTGGTTTATGTTTGATTTACACAGAAAATAATTTTGCTCATGTTTTATAACCCTGATGTCTTTATTATGCTTTTAAACCTCAATACTAACACTGAACTTATTGTTGATGTTAAGCACTGTATTAACTTGTTGGTGAATACGTCTACTAATATTTAAATATGATTATTAATTATTAGAAAGAGTCAAAGAGATGCAACCTACATTGACTGCTTACACTCATCTCTGTGGCTTGTATTAATGTCAGTGCCATGAAGTTCCACATTTGTGGTTTAGAGAATACGTTGCTCTATTGTTCTAAATTCTAATACCTGAACATCGTTTTTTTTTTTGCTTTGTGTGGTTGTTACATGACAATATGTGAAGGATAAATAATTTTTACTGCTGTGTTTATTATGATGTTTGAAATTGATTGAAACTTTTCTTTTAATTTCTGTTCTGTTTTCAGTTTAAAAATGGAAAAATGGTCAAAATGCTAAATGAACACTGACATTATAGGGTCTCTGTTTTTGTCTTTTTATACATTGAAGAAGAGCTTGCAGGTTTTAGAAAATGACCTTGTAGTTTAACTCATGTTACTCGTCTCTGCCTGATGCCTTTGAAAAGTTGAACTACTCTTATCAAGACTACTTCCACTTTTTGATTTATGCGTAGTAATGAGCCTTACATGAGCAACATACCTTTAATGAAACGCGTTACATTCCAGTCTCCTCTTTTTACGGCAAATGTTTTTGTTGTTGCTTTTTAAAGGTCCCACACCAGAGAAGTCACTGCGATGTAACTCGTCATAGTAATGTTTGTTTACTGTTATGTAGTCACATGTTCCATTAATGAAATAAGAGAAAAACACTAATGTCTTACAAACAAATAGTTTGTCTTACATTGCCTATGAAATATTGCACAGATTTATTTCATTTGGCCTTTTTCTGCAAAGCTTTGTTGCTAAATGTTAATTTTAATTCATGTTTTTTTACATAGTATATGGACTACTAATGTCTTGAATTCTCGTTTTATTAAAATGAAATTTATTGAATGACATGTTCTGCTTCGATTTGCTGAAATGCAAGACACAATTACTTTGCTTGGGTAAACATACTTGTAGACAGTGCTGGGCAGATTACTTACAAAATTTAGTCTGTTACTGATTACATGATGAAAATTGTAATTAGATATTTTAGGTAATGTATATTCTGACTAGCCTACCTTAAAATTACTTTTATATTACTTTTGATCTAACTTGTTTAAAATATTTCCCAAACTTGGGTTAATGAAAGAACTATAGGGGGATTGTGAGTAATGATTAATTAAATAAATGAAAAAAAAAAAAATGAAAGTGAATAAATTATTTTAAAATAAAAACTATCAAAATAAAATGATTGATATTTTAGGTTTTGTCAAGTTTGAGAATCCCTGCATTACATAAGCAAACAATAATAAACATGAAAACATTACACATTCAAAGTTTTCTAGGTTTGAAATATTTTTGTCCAAATTAGTGAAGGTCACTGAATATGATTTAGACATAGTGTTTACAACTTGCTGATTTACTCATATCATACATGGTGTAATTTTGTCCCCAAATTCAGAAGCATCACAAATTTATTTACATGGCCATGAATGAAGCTAAATGATGACACACATTTGGATTTTTTTAAAGGAAAATTTAAAAGAGTAAAAACAATAATTAGTGAGAATCAATACATTACAAATAATTTACTACTATTGTGTGAATAATATGTAGTCCATAAAAGATAACTAATCTGATTATGAGAATTTTATAATGTAATAATTATAAATACAAAATTTTTGGAATCTGATTACACAATCCAGATTAAATATAATCAGTTACTACCCAGCACTGAGTTATTGACTATTCATGATTATGTGCTTAAATATTATATTTCTATTAAAGCTCAAAAGATGAGGTTAGAATGTTTGTCAAAATAACATGAAAAACATTAAGATAAAAATTACATTGGAAGCAAAGCAAGAAAAAAATATTGATTATAATTCAATAAAAGTATTGGTTAAACCAATTGGGTATCCAATATTTTATTAATATTTTATCCAATATTTGTGTGTTCTATGTATTTTATGCTTGGTAGAGTACAATGTCGAAAGCATAGAGATACACTACATTCATGCAAATTCTACTGAAATCAAATGAAAGTTGCTTCTCTCGAGCACTATTTGTTTTATATGCAGCGTTGCTGCCTATGTAGAGTATTTTAAATGTGCAGTCACATTTACCATTGTTTGGCAAATTCTTGTGGGAAAAATCCAGTCATTTTAACGGGAATCCATGCAATAGGGATTTTCACAGGAGGGTGGCAAATTTACCCACACAAAATTTGAATTTGCCACGAGCAACAGAAAGCTGCTCAATTTGAAAGTGACTTCTGTGTGAGCTGTACATTGCTAAACTATTAATAAAAGACATTGGACCTTTTTTTAAAGAAGATAATTTAAAGAATGTTGGTAACCAGCAGTTGGCAGAACCCATTGACTTCAATAGTAGGACAAAAAAAAATACTATGGCAATCAATGAGTGCCATCAACTGTTTCCAACATTCTTTAAAATATCTTCTTTTGTATTCAAGAAGAAAGAAACTCATACAGATTTGGAACAACATGAGGGTGAGTAAATAATGTCCAACTTTTCATTTTTGCGTAAACTATCCCTTTAAATCAGTCACTTAAGTTATGAGGATCCATTTCATTCAGGATGCTGCTTCGGAAAGTTAGCAAGGCTCACTGGGTTTTGGAATAGAGCCAATCAGTCTCAAGACATTAAACAAAAGTTGACATGAAATATCCAACAACTCCAAAATTTAACAATTAAATCGCTGCATTTGGCAGAAACTTCTATCCACAGTGACTTACAGTGCATTGGAGGCACGTTTATCAGGCATTTCAAAGTCCCTGACCTTGCCGTTGCAAGCACCATGCTCTAGCAGCTGAGCTACAGGAACACCACACTCCTGCACGCTTCCACATGCTGCCAGTGGGGAATATCAGTGCGCTAGATAAGAAAGACGAGGGAGACACAGACCTCGTTTCTGTGGAGGCTGTTCCGCTCCACCCCCCATATACTCGCGTATGAGAAGCAGCATTTTGTGAAGGATTAGCCGTATAACGCAGATGGCCTATCAGATGTATTGGCTTAAAATAAGATGGGGTTTTCTGTATTGGATCAGAGGAGGGTGTGTGTGTGTTCTCTTGGGGACTAGATCATGAATAGAAAGCAGGTTGGGGGTTGGCACACTTTCTCTTTTTTTTGGAAAGTGTGTTAAGGATGTTGAGGGGGTGGGGTCCCTGAGACAATCTCACCCCCAACACTATCAGCCTGACTGTCCGGCAAGCATAAGATTGAATTAATTGTATATATCAATATTAGATTTTTATTTCATAATTACAAATTAAATTTGTGTATATCCAGAGAATAAGTTTGGCATCACAAACAACTACAATAAATTTGGAAGCACCTCAATGTATCTCAAAAGTGCTTCTTTTTTTTAATATATCTGTATTTACTATTTATAACTTAACATTAACCAGAATTAAATTCCTGTTAAATTTGTATTATTATTAATAAATATAAACAATAATAATATTATTATATTATAATAAAATACACTACTGTTCAAAATCTGGGGTCAGTTAGTTTTTAAAAAATAATTTTTAAAGAACTCTTAACAAGGCCGCATTTATTTGATCAAAAATACAGTAAAACAGAAGTGTTCAAAATATCATTATTAAAAAACATACATTTATTGTTAAATATACAATTTATTAAATAAATTAGCAGTTGTTTTTTTTACTGTGAAAGATTTTTCGAAAAGCTACACTGTAATAAGCTATCTGTAAATATACTGTATATTCTTAGCTATTTGGCTTAGAGTTCAAATTATTTGCAGCCCAGCTGACATCAATTGAAAAATATAGTTACTATATTTTGATGAATGATTGCAAAGATTAACATTATTACTTTGGAAACTTATGAATCGTGCATAAAATCACAAACATGATTAAGAAAGCAAACAGCGTCCACTTTGATTTCGTGTTGACTCTAGGTGGGCTGTTAGGCAGTGACCCTGGATGTACTGTGAGCTTTGTGCAGCATCTAGAACTGAGAGACGCTACAGAGGCCAAAGAGGGACACGTTTTCATGTCCCCTGCTGCAGTGTGAGGCGGATGACAGATGCATGTGCCATATGGTGAACAGGACGATACTGCCCCTCTAGTTTGTGTCTGAATGAATCAGATAAGAGGACTGCCCTGTTGCTGAGGTCACCAACACGCAAGGTCATGATATATAAAACATGACCAAACCATCAGGATAAAGATGATAAATAAAAGGGTGAGATGCTCATGAGACAAGCTGACGAAGCATTACTCAACAACCGGAAGACGACAACCATTCCACACATTACCACAGAGGAAAAGGCAGTTGTGTTGTGGAAAAAAAGAATAACTGGGAGGTGAACTAGGAATCAGTAACATCAGATACAAAAGTCTTGAGATTCATATACAAAAAAACTATCAAAAACTATTGCTCCCCATTATAATCAACTAATCTGTCTACTTCAAGCGGCGATTTTTTATGTAGCACTTTATTTTCGGAAATAATATATATAAAATTAAGAAAATAATTAAATATAATGCATTTATTAATTACACACACACACATATATATATATATATAATTTAATAGATGTATAGTATATACATTATATTGTGTGTGTGTGTGATGCTGAAGTGAATGTATTATATATTTAAATAACTTCTGACTATTACCTTATAGACATTTCTGATAGCATAAATAAAGATTTATAATACGTCTGTGACAGATAAAACAAAGCACTGACAGATAAAAGCAAACTGTAGATGGATCATAAACTCCCTTCTGTGTCACTAAGCAGGTTTCATTCTCCTATTCTCTTATTAATAGGAGAATGAAACCTGCTTAGCTTTAACATTCCAGCCTTTCACCTTTGCTCTAAATGACACAAATCTCTTCATTAGCATTTCCCTCTGTGAATCACTTAATGAATCAGATCACCATTCTGAGGTTAAGAAATGATATTTTCCTCTCTAAAACCTTAGTGTCTCGGTGACACAGCATTAGCTCGTCTTTCACAGATATGCCCTCCTCGTTCTCTGGGAGTGTTCATGTGGGATTCTGCCATTAGCAGATAATAGCTGTGCTTTTGCAGAGTCAGGTGTCTCTATCGACTGTGTGATGGGCTTATCGGTCAACTTATACCCTGTCTGTGCAGGAAATACCCTGTTAAACTGCTCTGGGTCATTTCCTTAGGAGATTTCACGTAGTGAAACTAGCTTCTAGGTTGTACGTCACACGCATCACACACATGACCAACGTTGACCAATAGTGAGCCTACGTGTGACGTGCAACCTAGAAGCTTAGCGTAGTTTCACTACGTGAAATCTCGAGGCCCACAGTCACAGGGAAGGAAATGAATAGTTGAATAAAGTCGTTATTTTTGTTTGTTTTTTGCGCACAAAAAGTATTCTCGTCGCTTGATAAACTTAAGATTGAGCCACTGTAGTCACTCGGACTATTTTAACGATGTCTTTCATAACTTTCGGGTCGGCCAGTTTCAATCCCTTAGAAGCCTATGAAGGAGTGAGACAGCTCTCAGATTTAATCAAAAATATCTTAATTTGTGTTCCGAAGTTGAACGAAAGTCTTACGGAGTTGGAACAACATGAGGGTGAGTAATTACTGACAGAATTTTCATTTTTGGGTGAACTAACCCTTTAAAACAAAAGTAGAGATGCAGTAGTACAGAAATAGTGGCCAATACAATCATTATTTTTACTTTATAGCTGATAAAGATATGGCGCACATTATAAATATATATAAAAAAATACAAATACTGATATAATGGCGATATAACTGGGCGATATAATGTATATAGAAGAACATTCTCTTTGTTTAATGCAGTAATCAACTACTTACACTCGTAGTATTCTCTCCTCCCGGTTCGATCATGTATGTGTGATTCCCATCAAAAAACATCCCACTAGAGAGAGAGGAAAAGAGAGAGATGGTGAACTGGTAAGTTATACAGTTTAGTGGTTTTTATACAAAAACATTTGATCCCAAATAGAAAAGAGAACACATGCTAAGCATCAGATTTATGAGCTGAATTGAGCTTGAATTGATTTTAAATCGAGTTTGTTAGCAGAATTGCAATTTAAATCTGAACGTAAGTAAAAGAAGTAGTATAATTAAAATTAACAGAAATTCACAGAAATTGTCCTTTTAGTCATTTTTAACTATAAAAGTGAATGCTGGCTTGACAAAATGTTAAAAAAATTAAAAAGCCTTGAAGTTTGGAGGTTTATACGCCTTATGGAAGTTAAAACTTTTGCACAACCCTTGCTCAATACTCCACAGTATTTATTGTAAACTGCATACTAACATAAAAAAAAACTTCTCAGGGTGAGATGCTCAAAAGACAAGCTGGCGAAGCATTACACAACAACAGGGAGAAGAAGATAACCCCATATTTCACACATTACCACAGAAGAAAAGGTAGTTGTGGAGTGCAACATTTTTTTTATCATCATAACCTCATCATGTTGCATGATTAATTCAATGAATAATTTGGTTATCATCTTGGACATAAAAGTGGTGCACAAATAATTAGCATATGGTAATGAGATTCATCCATCTAGAAGATGTTTCAGTGCTGACTCTCCAAATGCAGGTCATTCTTACACTTGTATACCAAGATTATACCTGAGGAATAATAAAGCATATGAAGACTGCGTGTGTGCGTGTGTGTGTGTCCAGACGTCTCTTTTAGCCTTGAGACATGCAGAGGATATCATTCTCTGCTCTGATGAAGTCTATCTCTTGGATCAATCAGTCGGTGACTCTCAGAGAGCCTCCAGACAGTGCCGAGACACTCAAGGTGACTTCTAAAAGCAAAGCATGCATTAGGAGGACAATACAATGCCCTTTAGCCTGACTACATCCATAAATACTGAGTGCTGCCTCTCTGGTACCTACTGCACAAATGAATCGTAAAAGATTTTTCAATGGATGACTAGAAAACGAAAGTTTATCAAGACAAACACTAGTCTCACATTGTCTTTCTTTCTTAAGGGAACATTTAGGAAACGAACGAACGAACGAACGAACGAACGAACGAACGAACGAACGATAGATAGATAGATAGATAGATAGATAGATAGATAGATAGATAGATAGATAGATAGATAGATAGATAGATAGATAGATAGGCTAACATATCTACATAACTTAATGCTTTAGGTCGATGATCTGAGAGCAGTTAAATAGCTCAGTCGATGAGGGGTTTTAAAAGTGTCTGCCGTATAGGCTGTCATCAGCAGCCCATGACTTTTAAGGACATAACTGTTTGTCTGGCCCGTAATATGACATTAAGATAAACCACCATAAAACTGCAGACTCAGCAGTTCTGCTCCCTCCCTCTCACACATACACACACTGTTCTCAACACACAAAGTATTTTCTCTCTGATGCACTAAAAAAAATGCTGGGTTGTTTTTTCTACCCAAACGCTGGGTTGAGCCTGTTGGGGTCATTTTGTTGGGTTATTTTGTCCATGGTTGGGTAGTTTTTGTATTACCCAGCCATTGGGTTAGTGGCTGGCTCAATGTTAATAACAATTGAAACAATACACCCCTCCGACGCAACAACCCAGTGGTGGCTTAATCTACAACAACCCAGCAGATGGGTTATACAGGCTTTTTGCATCCTCAAAGGTGCATTTCATCTGTAAAAGGGTTTGCATATTTTTTTGGTGTATTTAGTATTTACTGTGCTGTTAATCATTTTATTTAATGCAACGCAACATACAGGGATGAAATGTCAGTCAGCTGAATGTGTCAGTCAGCATCGGTCGACTAGCATGATGGAAACGCCTTTTTCTTGAATAAACAAATGTGATTTTTATTCATCATTAAACTGAATCTAATTCATTTGGATGTTAAAATATGTTCTCAGATTTCAGCCAAACAATGCTACGCTTACAACAGGAATATATGTGGGAAAATAGAAGAAAATTAATCAAAGTGGAGAGGAGAGAGAACTTTGAAAACTGGCTGCAGCGAGTTTTGGCCATAGTGCTTTTAGTCTGTTCGTTGGAGTGAGAAAAAAAATAAGCGAAATATGGTCACATTTGCTTTTAAACGCAAGTTATTAAATATTTAACATTTAAAAAGAAATCTAATTTAACTGTATAAGCTGTATAATTGTTGAGTAGTCATTCTTTTCGGCACTTTTTCACTCACATACACATGTACAGGTTGTTTTAACTCTTGCCTATATTTTTGTGCATTCCTGGGTGTTCTTGCTTATTAATAAATGTTTACCATTTGATTATTATTCTTGCCTGTGTCGTTACACTAGCAATTATGTATGTGTGATTTTAATTTAAATGAATTTTGGGTTCCGATCCACTATGTTATTTCTCCTATTTACACAGCAGGACTATGTACAAACACAATATTTTATTTCAGCATGCAGAAACACAGAACAGAAATCTAGCAAATATTGACAAAATTGTTTGTTTGGGTGTTGATTTCAATTTTCAACAGCGTTTCTCAGTCTGCAGTAAGCAATACTTACTGATTTGCTGGCACGTACGCAGATAGACCCCAAGTGGTGCTCAAGCACCTGCCCTTTTGGTTTCTTTATGGTCTCTGACTAGTGCACTTTTTATTTTCTTTTTAATTTAAATTTAGCTCATGGCATCGATTCTTAATTAAGTGTGTGCCTGAAAACTGCATTAAGATCTAATTCTGCGAGACCGCACAAGCCCCTGCCCCACCCCAGCTTCTACATCCTTCTTTATAGCCATCATGCGAGTGGAGCAGCACTTGTGACAGCCAGGTAACGATAGTGTTTACTCAAACTAGAGCAAGCCTAGCTATGCAATAGCCCGACATTAAGTTTAACAACAAAAAACGAGTTTGGTGATGGCGTAAAATAGCGTTGTGCTGGGTCGAAAATGCCAACCAAATTAATAAAAATGCCTGCAAAATTCAAGATATGAATTTTTCCTTTGTGAGATTTTGTCTTAAAAGATATATGTTTATATCATATATAGTTGAGTAATATCACACACGCAAAAGTGATGTTTTCCCAAATATCAGCACGGTTGCAAATTTTTATATTTGAATTTTTAAACAACAGTTCAATAAACAATAAGTTGACATTAATTCCACAATTTTAAAATCAGAGTAAATTTTGACTGTTTTTGCACTATTTCACAAAGGAAAATAGTTTTGAATGAAACAAAACACTTGTGTCTCCCTGCAATACAGAGAGGTGTTTCGTTCAAGAATGAATCAGCCAGTTTAAATGAATCAGTGAATGAATGATTCTTTAACTCACATATTAAGACTTGCCGCCACCTACTGGCAGTTTGTATCTAACTTAATTTTTATGTCTTTATTATAGTAATTATGAGAGGGGGGTGGCCTTTTTTCTCAATTGAGCACCTTCCTCCTTTAAATGTCTGTCCATGGCCATGCTGATTTGCATAAATCCTTTAGTACTAAACCAATCAGATATCATGCACATTTGAAGAGAAAGTATTTAGGCAGTAAACATTCGAGTGTGATGAGTGTGAATGTAAAGAGCGCTGCCGCTCTATTTCTGAGCTACATCTGACCTGACTCTGTACATTCACATACAGAGAGAGAGAGAGAGAGAGACAGAGAGAGAGATGGATCTGACCTGACTCCTTCTCACACTAAAAATACAGACGGAAGGAACTGAGCAATCCCAGAGGGCCACACAGAGAGGTGGTGCGTGTGTGTGTGTGTTTGTGTGTGTGTGTGTGTGTGTGTGCGTGCCGTGCGCGTGTGTGTGTAAAGCTCTATAGAGACTAACTCAACTCTCCTCAGGCACACGGGCAGCTCAGGAACACAGCTAGGTTTACTTCAGCTATGCAGAGAACACAGCAGGTTGCCAATAATACAAACATAAATCTTACAAACACAACAAATATTACATTTTCCCCATGCAATAGTGGAGCACAAGGCCAGATGTAATGCAACAAGCATTAAAGCATCAATACAGGAGATAACAACAAAAGCACACACACAAAGAGTCCTGGGAGCATCAGTGTGTTATGAGAGGAGGATAATAGCATGCTGTAATTGTACAGCTCTAATTTGTTGAATGGGATAATCACAGCTTTGGCCTGCTAACATGTGTTTATTTATGAATGTGCCTTAGACAGAGACAGACAGTTCTGTGGGCAACAGCTGCTTTTTGTAAACCCGTGTGTGTTTGCGTGTTCATACAGACATGACGCACAATGACAGAGCGACTTACTGTAATCCATGGCAAGTTGAAAGCGCCACATATGATTTCAGAATATCACGTACTTTCCCATGGTAGTAACAGTGTTCTCCACCCTGCAGGGAGAAACAAACAATAATCAAAAACAGCACATACTGTTAACATGAGCTTTGAATGTGGCTCATCCAATCAGAATTTAGTGAGTCAGAAGAACCATCCCTTTTATAATACTAGATTTTTAGAGGTTTTTAACTGAAGCGCTGCATATTGTGATGCAGCTGTTGAGTAATCAATATATATATATATGCAATAGTGGTGGAGATATTTTTTGGTTACGCTAGTAGGTGGCGACAAGTGACAAGTTTTTATGAGGGAATCACGGACTCATTTTTTGAACCAATAAAGTCATTGGCTGAATCCGAAATCACCCCCTATACCAGTGGTCTCAAACTCGCGGCCCGCGGGCCATTTGCGGCCCGCAGGGTGATATTTTGTGGCCCCCTACTTGACATTAAAGTTTAAATAAATAATTTTTTTTATCCCTTATGGGCTACCATAGATAGTCTCGTGACACGGTGGGTTTGTTGTCAATAGTTGTCATAGACAACCGCGAAGTACAAACATACTGCGCCTGGAAAAAATGAGCGCGTCGCTTCAATTATGAGCGCGCTTGCCGCGCGACTACATTTGAAATAACGAACTTGAGCGCGCAAAATATGTGAGCGCGATATGTGAACGGCCCCTTGGCGAGCTAACACCAATCAGACCACGAGCTACTGGCAGCTCGCGAGCGACGTGTTGGAGAGAGACCCTGCTCTAAAACAATGTGAGAATAATCATTTTGAGCTTGTAATATGTGTCCAACAGGTTCATAAGGAGGTTTGCTTTGATTTGTGCAGTCAGTAATTTGAGACACTATTCATGTGTAGAAAGAATTCAATAAGCTGGGCAGACATGACTGCAAATATTTGTATTTCAAAAGCAATAATTGTTTTTCTAAGTATAATAAAAGGAAATGTGCCTTCCAAAAAAAAAAAAAAACATTCAATATCATTAATGTGTTGTATAAAGAAAATAAAAAGGACATAAGCAAATATAAATATCACAAATATGTGTTATAGACAAAGAAAGTTTGTGAAAATGAACTTCAACTGTCAGAAGGACAGCTCATAAAGAACCAATCATGTACAGAAAGGTATGTTCAAATTCAGAGGAAGAGTTCAGAAGAAACGTTAATAATAAATATTGAGAAGATTGGATCAGTTGTGCTCCTTTTTTGGAATACTTGAATACTATTTTTTTGTGGAATACTTGATGCGGCCCAGCCTGACCCCGACTCTACCTCCAGCGGCCCCCAGTTAAGTTGAGTTTGAGACCCCTGCCCTATACCCTCAAATAGGCCGTTATTTGAGGGGAGAGCCATTTATAGTGGTGTGGTATCCGAAACCATAGTGGACATTATGGAGTGCACTTAATCAATCCCACATTGCACTGCAATAACGAGTGTACAACCGATGTATGGTTTCGGTGATTTCAGATTCAGCCACTGAATCACTCATTAAACTGATATGTTCAGAATTGCTGATTCATTTAAGAAGGAAATGCCACTTTTGCATGTTGCTTGGAGATGTGCAATAGTTCAGCTGTGGCTTTGTTTGGCACTTTTTTCATTGGCAGATCATAAACAGACTAAAGTAATTGGCAAAATTCTGTCTAAAATGTAGGTTACTAAATATTAATGTAATGTATTTTGAACTGAACTGTTGTATGAAAGCAATAACAAAAATAAGGCCAAGAGCATGGATTAAAAAAGGTAAAAATGGTCCATCTTGATTTCATGTTGACATTAAATGTTTAAATTCTGAGTGTGTGGCTCAACATTTATACTGGCTACTTTTGTTTGTACTGAAGCGATCACAAGATTCGTAAGATTATTCCTGAGTGTGTGCGTGTTATTTATGAAATGTTTTTAGTGTAAGTGCTCGACTGCCATTAGGGCTGCAGGTTTTCTCTTCCTGCTTTTTCTCAGAGGACTAAAGCTGCAGCATTTACCAGCAGATCAATTTCATTTCATCCCTTTCTCTTTCTTTCTTTCTGCACTGGACAAGAAGCTTCATACATCTAGGTTTACCCATTCCTCTGCTTCCCTCTTTCCTCCAGCTTATTCTGGAGCATTTCTGCCTCTTTTTTCCCACATGTAGCACTTTCTGTCCTAAAGAGTTCTCAGCTCTGCCTCAGCAGGGCAGTCTCTACCACACACACACACACACACACACTGAAACATTCCTGAAGAGTGCAGTTGTTGTTGAGGAAGCCCCTTTCAGACTAATGACCCAGCATGCATCGGTGGCTAGAAGCACAGAGAGATGGGCTGTGTCCAAAATCTGAAAAATACTGCCTTCTTGTGCAGGATACAGAGGTAGGAAAGGGATCGGGATCTTCTTTTACATGAGAAGATGCCTGAAATTGATTTTTTTCAAATACACTGGTGTTCAAATTCAAGGTCAGAAAGATTTTATTTTATTTTTTTAGAAAGAAATGAATACTTCTATTCAGCAAGGACACGTTAAATCGATCCAAAGTCACAGTAAAGACTAACTACTTCAAATAAATGCTGTTCATTTGAACCTTATATTCATTAAAGAATCCTGAATAAAATGTATTACAGTTTCCACAAAAGTATTAAGACGCAAACTGTTCAGCATATTACAATGATTTCTGAAGGATCATGTGACACCAAAGACTGGAGTAATGATAATAAAAATACAGCTTTTCCATCACAGGAATAAATTACATTTTAAAATGTATTGAAATAGAAAATGTTAAATTGCAAATATATTTCACAATATTACTGTTTTTACTGTTTTTTTTTTTTAATCAAACAAATGCAGCCATGATGAGGATAAGATACTTCTTTCAAAAACATTTAAAAAGTCTTAGCATCTCCAAACTTTTGAATGTTAGTGTGTTTATTACTTGTATTTTTATGCACACTATTATATATAAAAATTATAAGTGCTATTTTCAGGTCAAAGCAATTTTCTCAAGATTGTTGTTTTTCATCTCAGCTTTTACAAAACATACAGTAAATAAACTTTGCACATAGTTTCTCAACTCATTTTATAGACTATCTACTTCCTAATTTATATAGCTACTAAATATATTTCACAATTGTGTAAACATTATCAAAATGCATTTCCTAAAACTTATACATAAAGTCATAGACAAACATTTTGCAATAGTGAGAGTATTAACTTGTTTAATAATACATAATATCTAATTTAATAAATAAATATATGAATAATAATAAATAATATATATATATATATGGTCACACTTTAGATTAAGGTTCAATTCTCACTATTAACTAACTAATAACTACAAATTTTGCTTCAATAAGTTCCTAATTACTGCTTATTAATAGTTAGTAAGGTAGGTATAGGGTAAGTATTTGGGTAGGATTAAGGGATGTAGAATGTGATCATGCAGAATAAGGCATTAATATGTGCTTTATAAGTACTAATAAACAGCCAATATCCTAGTAATATGGATGCTAATAAGCAACTAGTTAATAGTGATAATTTGACCATAAACTAAAGTGTTACTAATATGTGTGTGTGTGTGTGTGATAGCATTTTGTATTGTTTGTATAGTGCTAAATCTGTAGTTAAACTAATAGGTTATTCACTATTGCAGTGGGGAGATGAAGCTAAATATATCTGTGCTTCTGCTCTAGAATTCGTTCACTGCCTCTCTTTTTCTCTCTTCATCCTCTGCCTCTTCATCCATCCCTCGGTTATTCCCTCCTTCCTCACAGAACCCTCCGCTCTATTTTTTCATTCATCCTAGAAACAGCCCTTTTACCCTTACATGCACACTGTGTCGTCGGACTCTACAGCTGGGTTGTGAGCTATGAGGACTTGAATCTCTTCACTGAAGGCTTCTAAACTCAGATCAGTAACTAAAAAAATACATAAAACATGTTGAAGGGGCCATATCAAAGTCCAATCATAGAATATGGGCCTTTTAAGAGTTTCTAAAAAAATAACTGAGAAACCAGACACGTCCACTATGCATAATCTGTCTAAAACACACACCTTGAGACGATGATGTCCAACATGCAGTACATGACCAGGACGCTGAGCGTGATTTCACCGTAGTACAAATACAAGAACAAGTACAACATGTTCCTGGATCAACATCTTTGTTGATCCTGGAACAACATATCAATTAACCAATATGTTAAGTTTAGGCTTACAAGCAGGGTTATGTGCATCTATATCAGTGTTATTCACCTGTCATTTCCCTCTGATTTAAGGAGATTTAGGGGTAGGGATAGGGTTAGGACTACATTTTCAGACAGGAATGTTGTTCCAGGATCATCAAAATATGTTGACCTATAGGAACATGTCTTGGCAAAATCACGGTGACCCAAACAGGACACATATCCCTGCCCCAATCTGCCGCTGGGCTAAAACAAGCAAACACATTCTGCTCTGGTTGTGTTGTGTTTCCCATCTGAACACGCACGTCTCAGTACGCTGACAGAATGAAGCTGAGAGTCCCAGTGTGGCACAAAGAGAGATCTGATCAGACTATATTCACTGTCCCAAAGCGAAACACACAGTCATAGAGGGGAAAAAGAGGGTCATGGCATTTGCATGAATTGTTCAGTAAAATGTTAATTGTAAGTTGAATAAACTGGAAAAGGAAGTGGAAGAACCTCTTGTTTTGTGTTATGAATCTAATTTCCGTGGGAATTTTCCACCAAACATCCACCAATCTTTGCGTTTGAATACCTTTTATTTTGTATAAACCATTTTAAATATATATAGTAACCCTTTATTTTAAGGTGATGTAATTACACGTTACTACATGTACTTACTATAGTAATAACAGTAAATAAAAATTATGCATAATTACAAGTAACTAACCCTAAACCAAACCCTGACCCTAACCATAACTCTATAGTAAGTACATTAACATAGTTAATTAACATCACTCAGTACTTATTTAAGTACAATGTAACATCGTCACCTTCAAATAAAGTTTACCATACATGCTTGTGGGAGCATGCTTTTAAAAACAAAATAGATTTTATACTCACTTTGTTGACAACTGACTTCCCCTCCTCTGATATGTGCCTCTCAATGTAATTTGATGATAGAAGATCACTGAAGAAAAAGAGCAGAAGTACACAGTTGGCAAAAAGTGAAATGTTGTCTGGGTTATTATTAATGGATTCACTCGATTCTGAATTCTAAATATTTTCTGAAATCTTCACAGAAATCATAAAAGAGTACAGAAAAGATTTGATTGCATTTACCAATCAAAATACCAGTGCTTGCAAAGCAGTTTGCAAAAGCTTGACATAAGTTTAGATTTTAGGCTTTGGTTCAGAAACCATCTGCAATGTAAAGGAAGTTATATGGTTAAATAGATGCAAAAGAGAAAAGAGTAATCAGATTTAAGTATGCAAATACTATAATGATGTATTATAAATGGAACATTAAATTAATATAAGAGATACCTTAAATTTCTTAAAGAGGTAGAAAGTTTACAAAAGCCAAAAATGTATATGATGGATGGATGGATGGATGGATGGATGATTTAAATGTATAAACTTTTAAACTTAAAAACTTTTTTTAAAAATTGCAGATTTTGTGGAGAAGAAAAATAGACTGTCTGAGGAATATCAGCACTGTAAATATGATTCATCATCATCATCCTCCCAAACACATCACTTCTGGTGATCCTGGCATCACACATTTAATGATCAGATCAAATCAACACTCATGTCACTCATTTATCCTGCTTATCTAACAGAGAACAGAAATGGAACCGAATCTGGAATGGGATCTGCGTTCCAACACAGAGAGTGAACACAGTTAACCTGAGGAGAGATCCACGGCTTTTTCATTTCATACATCACAACTCACACCAAGTTGTGTTCAAGGACACTTCAGTGTGTGTGGCAAAGCCATGATCAAGAATGAGTTCATAAACTAGGGTTAGAGTTTCACTGGATGTGCACACTTTAGTTTTTTGCAAGCCAAATGATCCAATTGCAATGATCAACAAAAAAAAAACAAAAACGTCAAGGTACCAAAAAAAAAAACAGATCGAGCGCAGGAGGAGAGAAGGGTCAAAGTGTCTCCCAGCAGGAGTTCTGACTGATCAGTAACCATGAGCTCATCAACAGGACAGTCACAGCATGACATCAAACCAGCCTTTAAAGACAGAAACACACATCTTAAACGGCTGTTCACTAAACCAGGTGATTAGCAGGATATTTATGGAGCCGCAGCGCTGTGACATGCGAAACACTAACGACAACAAAAGAAATGTTTGTGTTTACAGACTCATTCTGTGGTAAATGCATAAGAGGGGCAAGACAGAATTCAAAACATGGATACAAGGACTAATAGAGGACAGGATGAAACCAGGGGCTAGAGAGAGAAAGACTGAGCATTGAGAGAGGATCAGAACAGGAGAAGATAAAGAGAGCGTGATAAAGTGGGATGTCAGAGAAAATAAACATTGTGATTGATGATAAGAGCTGCCGTTGCACACACACAAACGCACACCCTCATTTACACATGCACCATCTCAGCCTCCAGTTGCTACAATCTCCAACCCATCACCTCCCCTTATTTGACAATAGTGGGTGAAAATTTGCTGAAAATAATTTTAAACTGTATTTTGCATTTAAATTAAATAAAGTCAAATAAATCATTAAAAACTCCTATTTAAATGACATTATTTCGCTTTATTATTTCACTTTTTCCTTGCATATTTGAGACAAACAGAATGGGACTTTATGTCACTCACAACATTATGTACAAGATGAATCTCTGTCTCTTTGCTAAACTGCCTCTGTCACTGTGATTTTGTTCCTTATATTTTAATTTCGTCGGCTTTATGCAATTCGCCTTTGGCTAAGCCCCACCCCCCTTAGTTACTGTTGCTACGTCCGACAAACAAACTTCATCTGGGCTCTGGTATCAACATGGCTTATGCTGTGACAGCTCTTCCTGCTGACATTTTATCAAACTTTTATAAAGCAGCAAATAAAGTGTCCGATAGAAGTAGGCAAAGGGGGCTGCAATATACGTTCGAAGGCTATATTCACGACATACAGGTGAAACGCAAGGAACAACAAGGCATCCAAATAGAGGCAAAAGCATTAACGTTATACCGGTCACAGTCAAAAAATTAACCACCGCATATTCTACTAATCGAGACGAATGTTGGGACTAACAATATCAAGGAGCAACACTATTCATGCAAAGCTGGGTAGGTCTCTATTCACTTCTATAATCGTTATTACAAAGCAAACGGACTACGCGAGTATAACGTTGTATTTATTAGCAGCGTGTGCTAGAGTCTAGACGACACTTGTCAGGATTTGACTTCGGTTTGGGAAGGGAAAAAAACGGACACCCCCCTCCAACCTCTCTGGGAAACGCGTATCTGTGTTACAAATGCCCCAGGCACAACGTTTAACCATATTTTTGATAAAACTACGACGGTAATAGCCGGCCGAGACCAAAAATATGAGACGCCTGTGTTAAAGTCAATGGAGCGCTGTGAAAAAGTGTCGGACGAACCACTGTGGGAGCTCGTTCTTGGCTGCGCTGTGATTGGTCAATCTACATTCTAGGGTGTGGCTTAGCCAAAGGCGAATTAGTACCGTTTGTCATCACATTAAGTGCAAGATAATAAATAACATAGAAAAATTATTATACAAATTTATTTAACATCCTAAAATGTCTGATAATAAATGTAATACAAAAAATTATATTTATATAATTTCAAAGCCCTCCACCTTCCCCAGCTCCACCTATATAGATCTGCTACGGGTAATTCATGTATGCTTTTTACAGCAGCAACATGTCTTACTTTCTCACAGCAGCGTGTCTGTATTGTATGCATTGTATGTATGTATCTGTATGTATTGGTCCCATAGTTCTGCAGCAGCAACAGCACATATACATACACACACGCATATTTAGTCCTAAGCTTTCTATAATATTGTTTATTAAATTTATTCAAGTTTTTTTTTCTTTATAATATGAAAAAGACAAGAATGACCAAAGAAAATAATAACACTTTTTCTTTAGTATTGTCTGAGAATGCAGGGGACCTTAGTGGGGATCTTAGTCTCAATCCAAAACCCATCATGTGTCTGTATACTGTACCAGGTGTAGATGCAGTGGTGGAAAGCTGCAGTATATAGTACTTTGTGAAATGCAAAGGTAAAGGCTGATAACAGATTTGAGTTTTAATTGCTTTGGGATTTGAATAATTTATAAGGAAAGCCCCACAATTCCCCATCCCACCCCATCCCATTCCATCTTCACACACACACACACACACACACACACACACACACACACACACACACACACACACACACACACACACACACACACACACACACACACCCTGCCCTACAAACATTTTAATATGGCACTGTCACATGACTAGAAAATGGCTCTCATTTCTCATGTAAAGCTTAATGGACTGATTCATTGTATGAGACAGACACCGAGAGGGCGAGACATGCTAATTAAAGAGGGAAACCAGAGGAATAGAAATGAAGGGTTTACAGAATAAAGAACAGATTGTGTGTCAAGTAGCACTGTATTATCTGTGTGTGAGGTGAAAAGGTTCTGTTCCAAAAGCCGAATGAGCTGCTTATCTGAACTGCATTTTAAGACATCATGCCATAATTATGCTGCCATATAATACCTTTAGCCAAATTTTAAGGTAGCATTGCATGTGTTCTTTGGAAAGAAAACAACAGTATGCCAGGATGCAGGAGTCCCATATAAATCTGATATTTGAGAGAAAGGCATTATTTTAGGTTTCTTCCTCAGCAAGGAAACATCAAATTGATCAGAAGTGACAGTAAAGATATTTATGTTACACTTTTTCTTTTTTTTTTTAAAATAAATGCAGTTCTTTTGAAATTTCGATTCATCAGAGAATCAAGGGCGGAAATCAAGCAGCTTAACTGATTTCAGTATTGATATTAATAAATAAAAAAAAGTTCCTTGAGCAGAAAATCAGCACATTAGAATGATTTCTGAAAATGTGCTAAAATAGAAAACAGTTATTTTAAGTTGTAATAATATTTCACTGATTTTACTGTATGAAAAATGCAGCCTTGGTGAGCATACTTCTTTCCAAAACATTAAAAGTCCACATGAAACGGAAGTTGTGATTGTTTTTCCCTATTGTGACGTAAATCCGAGTGAAACTTGAGCTTCTCGAACAAGAAAAAATTTAGGACGGACTTGATTTTGTCCATTGGTCAATAATAATTGCTGGTTGTAGTTTGCTATTGCTGTGATCTCATGTGAGATCAAACTTGTGAACAGTAGGTTTTTCTTTATAAATATACAGGTATATTTGCACACAATAACATTTATGCAAATTTATAAGACAAGTTCATGTTTTTTTTTGTCTCATGCATTTGCACATATGCAGCATCTTTAGAGATTATGGAGTGTGTAAGTCTGGTTCTAGACCCTGGAGACCAGCAGAAGAACATCTCCCCTGAGGACAGGACACCATCTAGCACAGCAAACCCTAATCTCTGATCTAATTAGCACTCAAACGCTGCAGTTCACTTTTCATATGGCTCACTTAAAACAAGTGTAATCAAATGTTTTGTAGACTGCAGTTTCCACCATTTAGATTCCATTAAAATTTGGAGACTTGATCTGATTCATGCTGTGATTTATGTGTTTGAGATTAAGATAGTGACTCGAAATCCCTTTTGAGAAAACACAATGTTCATTAGAGACTCATGCCTGTTCATGTTCACAGACAAAAACAACTACAGTACATCAGACAGAAGTGAATGATATAAGGCATCTGTTTAATAGAAATAAACATCATGTTAAAGTGTGAGAGCATTTGTTAACAAGTGAATGATGTAAGGCATCTGTTTAATAGAAATAAACATCATGTTAAAGTGTGAGAGCATTTGTTAACGTGTGTGTGTGTGTGTGTGTGTGTGTGTGTGTGTGTGTGTGTGTGTGTGTGTGTGTGTGTGTGTGTGTGTGTGTGTGTGTGTGTTCGGAAAAGCTGAAGTCAGTAGGCCTATTATAAAATGTGTGCTGAGCTCTTTTAAACTTGCAGCACTGCTCGTGTTCCCAAAGAG